TCATGTTAGTACGTCGGCGAAGTGAGAAGAATACAACGCATGCCCGCGTGAATCTAATACTATAGACGAATTAAATCAGGTGTACTGCAATGAGGAACAAGTGAGCGGAATGAAAGCACAATTAGAAAAGTATAAAACGGGCCAAGATGTGTGCATTGTGAGCTCCGGATTCCCGTTTGCAGCAGCCGGCGCTGTCCATGGCGCACAAACCTCAAGGGGCTGCTCGCCATGCATGGATGAATTTCGCGCGCTTTCCAGTTACCACGAGGAGTTGAACCTGTGGACACGTACGACTTTGGAAGCTGCATAAAACCACCTTCGCATCAAACAACGCGGACGTCCGAATTCAAGGCGATTTGCGATGCAAATAGCGTACCACCCTATGCACTTCGGAAGTGTGCACGGTTGGAAGGTTCACATCATAAAATCGCTGGCATGGAATTCGCAACGATCGCCGAGCGTTTACGTGCCCCCGTCCACGACGCGTGCCACGTCGACTTTGTCTGCAATAGTTTGACCTCAAACACGGGCGGGTGAAGCGCAGCACATGCTGACTCCTGCGCCTGGCCACCACCATCAACGCAGTGGAAACGGTGTGATATTTACCCAGAACTCCAACGTGCGCGCAAGTGTGCCGCTTGGTATGCTTGGTCCTGTTCGGGCCGAGGGCCGCTTCGGGACCGAGTCTCTTCAGCCTGACGGAATTGCGGGGAAGAAGGCGCTGCACAGCGCGAGGCTGCCCTGGGCGCTCCGCGAGCTCCGTAAGGCGTGGCAATGCCACCGTCGGGTGAGCTCCTGCCCGGCCGCGGCGGCGTTCCATGGCGCCCGCGTCGTCCTCGTGCCCTCGCCAGACGGCGGATAAAGGCGAGGGCGTCGGGGTTGAAGCGTCGACTTCCATGCCGAAGACGACCAGCCGGCAACAGGGGCAGGCCGTTCGTTGGCCGCGGCGCTGTTCTGTGGCAGGGACGTCGATGCTCAGATCGCGGAGGGCAACGCCGGCCGCCACGCGTGCTCCGGAATCTCGGCAAATGCACGCCGCTGCCCGCTCGAGTGGGCCCGCAAGATCCCGCAAGGTGTGTGAGACCCCGACTTGCACACAGGCCGCGCGGTGATCCCCGAGCATACACATTTTTTGTTGTGGAAAGGCGGATCACTGCATGTGAGGAAGTCGACAAACTACGTGGCGCCGCGTTGCGCTTGGCTCGCCAGGCCAAGGAGCGGACGTACCCGGAGCTCTGCCGATCGGCCCGCTCCCGCCTGACCGTGCTCGCTCTCGAGGTCGGAAGCCGCTGGAGTGCCGAGGCTGCGGGGTTTGTCCGCCAGCTCGCCGCTGCAGGGCGCGGGCCGCGCCTGCAACCGCCAGGAGCGCAGCCACCTCCGCATACGCGCTCCGGTGGTCTGCCCTCATCTCGTTTGCAGCCACGCGCGCATTTTGTGCCAGCCTCCTCGCACTCCCTCCTGCGAACACTGGCAATGTCGATGGAGACATCCCACTCCTCAGCGATGTTTTGGCAGACTGCTCGGCCCCTCCTCCCCTTGCCAGCCGCATGCCGTGACAGGGCCACCGCCCGCAGCACCTAGCTCCCTGCCCACCGCCGCCTGGTGTGCTCACTGCACCCTGTGCCACCCGCAGTAGGCTGAGTTCGACCTATATGGACTTGGGAAAAAGGTGCGTTGAAAAAAAAACTGCCCATTGGATTTCCTGGTGCGACACGCTGCCTGTTATCCAAGCCCGAGCGCCGGTAGCTGCAGATTGGCTGCTCCATGCCTTGCAGGGCCATGTGCCCTTGCCCGCGGCGGCCGCTGCGAATCAGGCACGCAATGCCCTTCGCGCCACCGGCTACGACGCGCCGGCGTGGGCTTCCCTCCTTGACGCCTCAGACGCGCCGCCAGCGCGCGGCTGCGCTTTCGAGCCAGGTGATGCCCTGCGGGGATGGCAGCGCCAAGCTGCCGGAGCGTGCGACGAGCGCGCGTGCGAGACGCATCTTTCTGACCTCACCCTTGCGTCCCGTGCGCTGCTGCTGTCGCAGGCTGGGCCACAACACGCACTCTGCCCGAGCCATCACCGTCGCACCCACGCACGAGGCCGTGTCCATTCCGAATGCGCAGTTCCGCATTCTGCTCCTGCGCCGCCTGCGCCTGCCCCTGTCACGCGTCGTGGCCGGCTCGACGCTTTCGGGGACCACCGTGCCGCGTGCGCTACCAGCGGCGTGCTCGCCACGCGCGCAGGGCCACTTGAGCGCGCCGTTGCGCGGTTTTGCCGAGAGGCCGGTGCGCGTGTCGCTCGCAACGCCGACATGAACAATATGAACATCGACTTCCCGTCGCAAACGACAGGCGCATCGAAGTTGTGGCCAACGGCTTGTCCCTTTGGCACGGCTCGCAGCTCGCGGTTGATGCTAGGCACGTCTCCCCGCTCACACGTACGGGCGAGCCCCACCCGCGGGCTGATGTTGAGCCGGGGCGCTCTGTCACCGCACCAGCGCGGCGCAAGCGACACGGCACGTTCCCCGAGCTCCTCCGTGCCCGGCGGTGCCGCCTGGTCGTCATTGGCCTGGAAGTGTGTGGGCGCTTTGGCACCGAAGCGGCCACCTTCCTGCGCGTCCTGGCCCGCCACCGAGCCGCCACCATCCCAGCGCACTTCCGACCAGCGGCTCAGGCCGCCTGGGTGGCGCGATGGGCGGCGGTCCTGGCCGTTGCGGCCCAGCGCGCGTTCGCATCTGCCTTGCTCGAGGCCCCCTCCCTCCGGGCCCCGACCCCCGCGAAGACATGCTGCGGAAAAAGGCGCGTGGAAAAAAAAGCCATTAGGGGGTGGTCTGGGGAGTCACGCGAATTCGTCGAGGCCAAACTGCAACAGCGCTTGCAGGACCAGGATCGCTTGGTGTTCGAACGCAGGTGTTCTGCGGCGCTCGCTCGGGGGCGTATCGGCGGCGCTCACATCCAAGAGTGGGCGAACGAGGTCTGCAAGCGGCCCGGGTGGTGTGTGCCGAGTGCCTCCAGTGTGTCGGCCCATGTTTGGGAGCGGCGCCCCATCTTCGCCGCTCGCCAGCAATGATTGCAGCGTCGTGCCAGTCCCTACCCCCCGCAATCAAGGTATGTGCAGCGAGGAGCCCCGCAGTCAACGGCAACCCTCTCCAAAGAGATGAAGCGGCCGCTGCGCCACGGGCGCAATGGGCCGGCGGCCGGCGGGCGCGGCCGGCTGGGATGGCAACTCGCGGGATGGCAACTCGCGGCAGGAGCTTCCCGTCACACAGAGTGGTGAAGCGGCGAGTTGCGCCTTTACGGCTAACCCCTCCGGCCTGGACACGGCTGTGCCCGATGCGGAGTACCGGGTTCTCCTGCTTCGCAGGCTGCGGCTTCTGCTGCCATTGGCCCCTGGACGCTGCTCTTGCGGAGGCCTCCTGGATGACTTCGGGGAACCACCGGTCCGCCTGCGCCCCAGGCAAGTAGGGTGCTGCTTTCCGAGCAACTCTGGGTAAGCTGCTCGGCAGCGTTCAGCGACCCGCAAGGTAGCTCCGTTATGCGCAGCTGCGCAAGGTTGCGTGAAACCCGTGCGCAAGAACCGCGTTCGCTGCACTGTTCGAGCACCCATCAGTCTGCCTTGTGAAGCCAGGCCGTATGGAGACCTTGGTGCATTCGCTGCAAGCACGTTCGCACGCAGACCGGTGCGAGTGGATGCCATGGCTGCATGTGACCTCGTCAGCCGCCATCCCCGCATCATCCTGACGGAAATCAGGAGGAAAAAAACTGTGGCTGCAAAGAAAGCCGCTTGCAACTCCTGCCGGTTTGGAAGAGCCGCGAGGAAAAAACAGGCGTGGGGGGGGGGGAAAAAAGGAAGAAGCTTTAACCGACGCGGCGTGCAGGCACCCATACCAGTATCACCACATCGCAGCCACTTCCCTTTTTGGTAATCACTTGCCCTTGTGGGTGGAAGGGTGGAAGGTGGAAGGTTGGAAGGGTGGAAGGATGGAAGGATGGAAGGATGGAAGGATGGAAGGGTGGAAGGATGGAAGGATGTTGCATCACGTTATGAACCCGTTTTGCCGGCACTGTGTTTTCCAGACATGTGCCCGCATGGCTCCAGGCCGAGGGCCGCATAAAATGGCACATGGAATGGCAATTTGTCAACAATGCTTACAATCACTTGTATGACGAGCAGTGTCTTCACCAACATGAGCAGCCAAGGTCAAAGTTAGCTTAAACGTATAGAAATAGCAGCGCAACAGCACGAGCTTACAGCCAAGAAGGATTCATGCTCGTCGAGTTCGCATTGTAGCTTGTCTGTTGCACGTCATGGCGCCCAAAGGGGTCGGCAGCTTACGACAAACATGGCGGGCTTTTGTTACACTCACAAGTGCTTGGGCCGTTGCACCCTTCATACACTGTTGTGCTTTCTGCGGAAAGGTGAGCAACCGGACACTTTTAGCCAAAAAGAAAGGCCATTGAACGTGTTGTCTATGATACGGACGAGACGCCTAATGCTCCCCGAACGATCGCGGGCCACAGTTTGGATCAGGCATTAAGATGGGAAGCTACGTGCGGGTATCCTACAGGGAGGCTTGTGGTGTCACGTGCCATGCCGCCTTGCGGTGCAAAGCTGACAAGTCGTGATTGCGACTGTGTGAAGGATGGCAAAGGCTCACAGATGCAGTTCGAGGGAGTTATGGCAGATCGACGAATCGGCGGCACGGACCGTGAGTCATACGCCATCGTCTCATTTTTTGACCGGTTGCAGCAACTGAGGCGTGTAGTGAAGTTTGTGTATCAGCAGTGCCAAGATTGAGCTGAAGAACGCTTTGGGCGTGGGCAAAGAGAATGAGATCATTGCGTTCGCGATGTTCTAAGACTCAAACAAAGCCACCTGTGTGTGTGTGTGGGTGGTGTGCTAGCTGTGTTTCGATCCCTTGAATTCAGGAAGGCATCAAACGTTTGTATGATGCTTTCATCGACGACATGGACCCAGCAGAAAGAAGGCGCTTTCTTTGCATTCACGGATGTCACGTTTTTGTCACGGTGTCGTGGCTCGCTGGTACACCAGTTGGCAACTGCGCAGTGGTGGATCGAATATCGTTGACAGCTGGGTTATCAAAGGCCGCAAGAAGAGATCGATGCGGCCCAAAACCGCATCAAGGCATTTTGACGTGCGAGTGTGTGGTTGTTGCACTGGCCATTTTGTATTAATTGATTCGCCAAGGCTGGAGGAACAGCAGCTTTGCAACCAGGCGCAACATCCGAAATTCAGATGTGGTGGATGTGTTGGCATGCAGCAGAGATTTAAGGGAGCAGCCGTGAAAAATCCATTTTGTGGCACTGGTGCAGGTGGCGGGAGCATGGGCGCTGCTAATTCTTCTGTGGGCGGCAACATGGTTGGCGGGACAAACATGAGTGGATGTGGCGGCGGGTGTTGTGGCGGCTGCGGTTGTGCATGCGGTGGCTGCGGTGGCTGTGGCGGCTGTGGTGGCTGCGGCTGCGGCGGCTGCGGCGGCTGCTGCGGCGGCTGCGGTGGCTGCGGTGGCTGCGGTGGCTGCGGTGGCTGCGGCGGCTGCGGCGGCTGCGGTTGTGGAGGAAAGCCGTTACGAATAGCTGCCAACCTTGCCGTTTGTAGCGCACGAAAGCACCGGCTTTGCCCAGGCTGCTGCGGCTGTGGGTACGGAGGCGACTTCACATAAGTGAGCCATGAGCTCGGAAGTCGTGTAACATTTCGTGCTGTTTCTGCAAGGTTGTTCACCGATGCCGGGTTGCGGCTGCGGTTGCGGCTGCGGTTGTGGGTGTGGTATGCCAAACCAGCTTGGGACATAGCACTTGCAGAAATCTTGTTGCTGAGCTGCTGTCTATATGATGGTATCTAGCACGCGACTTCTGCCTACGGAGTGCATGTGCTTTTTGGGAGTAGCAGCGGCGCGCTGAGGATGATGGTTGGGATGAACCCCATGATGGGCATGATGGGTGGCATGAACCCTATGATGGGCATGATGAACCCTATGATGGGCATGCTCCTTGTGCGCAAGAAGCCATGCGTCAGAGGTATTTGCATGTAAGTGGGCTCGCCAAATTTGATCATTTTGCTTGGTGGCCATCTGGGTCATAATTGCGGCGTTCCAGTTAACATCTTTCAGCAGCCTGCCAGGTCGTGTCCACATGAAGTGTGGTTTGTACCAATACAGTCATAAAGACTTGCCGCTAGCAGGATGAACCCCATGGGCATGGCGGCAATGGGTGCCATGGGCATGGCCATGATGGCTGCAGGCAAAGGCCGTTTTTTTTTATATACCAAGTCAAGTTTGACCACCAAGTCAAGCTTGAATGCTGACTCCAACCTTACCCTTTGTTTTGGTCCGCACAAGTGCGCCGCCGCACGTGTGTCTGCTTGAAGAGGTGATGACAAAGGTTCTGATGATGAAGAGGACAGCACCGAGGCTCGATAGCTGGGTGCACGGGGTGAACATGGAAGCCAAAAGTAATTGGGTCTTGGCTCTTGCAAGGCAGACCGCAAGTCAGGCGCGCAGCTCCAGAACGCTCCAAAGGCAGCTTCGGTTTTTGAAAAAGTGTGTGTCTGAGTGCAGGCGAGCCGAAGATCCCCGAGCAATTGGAGCGTTTGTTGCTTCCAGGGCTCAAGGGAGAGATTGAGTCTGCTGCTCGGAGTCGGAGGGGTGACACTGGCAGAACACATGTGTAATTGCAGATCTGAACGTGCTCCAGGTCACCCGACATCTCCAAAGAGTTGGAAAACATTGATGAAGGGGTGCCCCCGCACGTCAGAGGTGTTGCATTGTCCTGCAGCAAGAAGTGGCAAGGGAAAGTCTCGGCGACAGTTGTGCCGTTTTTCCTTCTCGATGTGGATCTGTGAACGTGGCCCTTCCCTGCAGCTGTTTTGCCGCTGTTCAGGAGCCAAGTTAGGAGTCTAGGCCGAAGCCTAAAATTTCTTTCGAATGCCAGTCCGACAAGGTTTAAGCACCCTCACTTTCAGTCTTACCTCGCACCGAGTACATTGCAGCTCGCTCAGCTGACACATGCCATTACGGGAAAGCTGCTGCATGATTGGCATGCGTCGTGGAAGGTGGTGCGAGATGTGATGCAATCGTGACTTCTCGAATGCTCGACGCGTTCGCTATGGGTCACTTGCAAACTTTGGCAGCCCTTAACAGTTCAGGTGCTGTGGACCCCCGGCAGGTTCTGATTGGCGTTTCCTGCTGCCATCATGCCTTGAGGTCTGTGAAAGGGAAGTAGTTGGACACAGTGCTGGAAGTGGCGATCCTCGCGGGCTCCACTTTCGAGAAGTCATCAGCTGCATTAAGGCGCAAATCTTGTGGATGTGTGAAGTTACTCCTGAATGCCCGGTTATGTGATCTGCAAATCCAGGCTCATAACCTGGCAACTGGCAGCCCTAAATTCATACCTGCGTCGCCATGTTGTAGCATCGATAGATTTCATGGCTCAACAAACCTCATGTGTAAGGCCTGGTGACAGAGCTGCAATTCAACGCCGAGCCAAGAAGGCTCACTGCATGTGTTTGCTGCAATGCCGGCTTTTTTTGACTCTTTGCATTTCACGTCTCTTCGCGGTTGGTATTTGTAAGTTTGCCTTCATGCTGCGGCTGTTGAACCAAGACTGCTCGCCGTAGCAGACTCGGCTTAAGCACTGCGTGCTGAACATCTGCCCTTTTCCCCAATCAACAGCGCTGAGCATCTAAATGGTGGAGCTCATTCTCAAGGTGACGCTTGGGATGCTTTGGGCTCATGCTATGGAAGATGCCTTGCTTGCGGATGACGTGTGTGCTGGCCCTGGCTGTGCACTGACCCTTCTGCAAAGCCAGACGAGGGCCAAGAGTGAGACCGACTCGAATGTCACGGGAGGTTGGCAGGGTGCCCGCGAGACGAGCAACATCTGCATGTGGTCAAACTGTGATTTCAGCTTGGGACCGACGGAATGCTACCACTTTCGCTGCATCTGCGTGGCGGATCATGTGTGGAACCCTCGATTGAAACAGTGTGTGCACCGCTATACGCCAGCAGGAGCAGAAGTCCTGCGCTCAGTTGAATGAGATGGTTACTTGTGACGGTTTCAGGTTGTGCAAAAAGCCTTGTCTTTGAAGAGTTTGATCATCTTTGCCTCAGGTCATTTCTCCGCAAGATACGGGTGCGACATGCTTCTTCAAGGATTGCGATCAGAAGTTCACCACGTGCTCAGATGACAGCAAGTGTCTTTGCATCCCTGGCTTCGTGTACATGGCTGGTCGAGGCGGATATGGTGGATGTCAGCGGAACCCGGCCCTATTCCCACCGAACATCCAGTGGTCGGTTGCGGACGACAGCCATCGATGGGAACAAGCACATCCTCCTCCTCGCCCTCAGCCGCAGCCCGATGTGCAGCCCCACAATGTGGCCCCGACACCTCCGCCTCCGCCGCCTGCCCCCAAACCGTCCGGTGAAGCATCTTGCGGGGCACACAGCAAATGCTCAGGTTTGGCAGGCAACTGCTGTCCCAATGACTTGGGCTTGAGCCTCTCTTGCTGCATGTGAACGAGTGAAGCCCAGCTTCAGATTCTCAGTGTCACAATTCCCTGCAAAATGGCTCTAGCTCAAAACCTTGAGGACGGACCGACTTAGTGACTGAGATTTTCACGACTTGAACTTGGAAGCTTGAAAATTGCGGCTTGCTTTGCTATCCTGTGCTAGGCTTGCAATGTTGACACTGGCCGCCTGCAGTGCTCACAAGATCACTTCAAAGCTGTTCTCTGTGGAAGGCTGGCTACGGAAGGCTGGGCTACCTGGATTGCCAAGGCCGACGCGTCGAGCGACAGAACTTCGTCGCAGTTCATAGCATGCCTTTTCGTGGAGTGACTTCTGAATGGCAGGTTGAGGGCTCTTGTACTCGGATGCAAGCTTTGGTGCTGTTCCGCTTTGTTGGGTGCTCTTGTCACGCAAGCGGGTGTGGCTAGGCTTGAGTTTGGTCTTGCTTCAAAAGGTAGGGCCGGACAAGGTCCGAAAAGCTGCAAGCTCTTGATTCTACTATAAGATAGGGAGGGATCGTGATTGAATTGCTTTTTTCGAAAGAAGCCCTTCAGGAAGGAAAGTGACTTGTTACTTCTGAAAGTTAAGTAGTAGAGGTGTTCCGATAAGAAAGGGAGTGAACCATGACTCCTCCGATGAAAATACAGAGTCTAGAGTAGTAAAGGCTTTCCTTTTCGCATCTTTCAGCACAAACACCCGAAAAGCAACGCACTCTTACTTGACATATGCGGTGGGGCGAGCTTTCATGGGCCTCGGCTTGACCTTCTTGTGTTGTGGTTATGAGATATGAGGTCTTTATAAGGAAAGACATCGTTCTTGGATCTGTGTGTGCTCTTTCCGCTACGTTCTTGACTTGCCAGGTCGATTCTCACCTTCCTGCAACCTCCCTCACCGGCCCGGAGGTTTGCAGATCCGACAAGGCTGGGCCTTGGCTCCTTTCTTTTGGCCTGTTGGCCTTTTGGCCTTTTGGCCTTTTTGGCCTCTTTTCTCTTTGAGAGCGGTGACGGGATGCTGGGATGTTCAAAGCCGCACTGTGGCGTGTTCACCATTCCCCGATGTCGCCAAGGCGCGTTTGGCCATGGGCTTCTCAGATCCGGCAGCGAACTGCAAACCTGGTCATTTCATGCGATGGAGCTTGCCTGGGAATCTGGCGGATGTCCTGAGTCTCCTTCTCTGGCAGCCCGGGAGCTTCTCTGCAGGGGCAGAGGGTCGGCTGCCAATTTTCTGTGAAGACCTTGGGCATGAGCCCGGAGAGCACAGACTGGGCCCAAAAACCCTGCAAACACGAAAGCCACAATATTACAAGTGCAGCAGGAGTGCAACTGCAAATCGGACCTTCGTAGGAGTTTGTGCCCATGCAGCCCTTGGGCACGCTTCTTTGGCCGAACTCTATCGGTAGCCCGCTTGCAACATGACCAGGGCCATGCAGCGAGGGGAAAAAATTAGGTACAAGCCTACAAGCTGTCTTCTTTCTTTGTTAGCAAGACTGCCTCCCATGCTCGTGCCGCCACGCAGTCCTACGTCAGCGTGCAGTACACGCACCCTCAGCTGGGCACAAAGCTTAGAGGTTCAATGTCCAACAATGGGAACCTTGGAGAGGAACGACGCAGAACGTGTCGAATTGTCTTGTTGGGGTAGTGCTGCTTTGGCTGGGGATGGTTCCAGGGAAAGTCACCTACGAGGGCACCCTGCAAGAGAAGTTTATTGGCGCGTCCACGAGTCAGCTTGGCACTTAGTCGTGTGTCGTGTGTCGATTCTATACTCAGTGGTGAAGGTTGCTGTGATGTTGTTGCTTGCGTGACTTGGATTTGGAGGTCGTACATTCAACTGACCCAATGCCGGTGGTACGGCAAGAATGGACGGCTGGAAGGACAGGAGGCCCTGGCGGTGAAGAGTCTGGGAATGTGAAAAGATGGGAAGACTACTGCCTCATGTCCCTTCTGTTTGGATGTTGCTATGGCTCAGCAGGAAGTGGCTGCTGAACACCAGCAGCCTCCCACCTCCCAGAGACCCGAAAGAAATAGCCCACACTCCCCAATGGTTGCAGGCCTAGCTTTAGGTGATACCTGGACAAAGTTTCTGAACTTCCTCGCCCACATCGCATTCAAGAGCCATGCGGACCAACGCGCGCCGCCTGACCGCCCCGCAGCTGGACGTCGCAACGGTGCAGCTACCAAACCTGCTCCCCAGCCGTGGAGGAGTTTACGGGCAGCACACTGATGGCCTCACCGTGCCATGTTTCCGGGGGCTGTTGGCAGGAAGCTTCGCGGCCAAGCCCAGCGCGAGGATGTGCCGAATGCCCACCCTCATTCCTGCCACACAGTCGGTGCTTTTGTTTTTCCCTTCACATCATCGCCTGGAGCCAGGAGACTCAGTGGAGGCCCGGTCGTTTTGTTTTTTCTCTCTCTCGCTCTCTCTCTCTCTCTCTCTCTCTCTCTCTCTCTCTCTTAAGGTCTGTTTCAGGGATGGCTCTTGAAACTGAGGCCCCTGGGCTGGACCACCCACACCCTCAACAAGCACCAGCCTGACGCCTCAGTCCGGAGGCGATTGGGACACGATGTCGACATGAGCTCGACAGCTTTTTTCAAGACATGTCAGGCCTGTTTGGATCCGGGTCGACCAAGCATGCACAAAGCCTTCTAAGCAGGCAGTGCCGGACCCGCTGCCGGGCTGGTAGAGTCGCGCAATCTGCGACGCTTCAGCAAGCAGCGAGGCAGAAAAATTGGCAAGAATCGCGGCAATGCCACGCTACTTGGAGGTTCATGGGTGCTTATAACCCCAATGAGAAGTGGACTTAGGGGACTTGCAGTAAGAACTGGGGTTATAAGTACCCTGAACCTCCAGGTAGCTGTCAGAGGCATCTTCGCTGTTCCGCTGTGAGGGCTGGTGCAACAAGATGCGGACGCTAAAGATGAAGAAGTACCCAGTTTGGAGGACGAACTATTCTGAGGGTTTTCTGAGGCTTAGGGCCAGGGATATTTGCTCTTGTTGGAAAGGAGCTGGAGCGCGACCTTCAGGGCTGGAACGGACAATGGAAGAAGAAGAAGGCACTCTGCTTAACAAGGTTTGTGGCGTGGCGCAGGGCTTGAGGTGGCCGCCAGAAACCATGGAGAGTGCCATTTTGTTTGGATTCAATGACGCGGGGGTGGGCTGGGCATTGGGAGGCGTCGGTGCTCATCCTGGAGCGTCTTCGTCTGGATCGGGAAGCTGAGATCCGGAGGAGGCGGAGAGCAAAACCCCTTTTGAAGGGGGAAAAATTCCAAAGGGTCGACATGTATGGACTTCTGACTTCTGGTCGCCTCTCAATCCTTATGCTTGCTCAAGCTGGCTGGAATTCGCTGTGCAGGGAAGAACTGGAGGAAAGGCGTCGCAGACAAGAGGACGCCCACCTGACCTGCTGAAAATCTTCAACCGTCACCCCTTGGCAGGAGAAGCGCGAGCATGTACGCCGAACGATGGAGCAGGAGCAGCGGGAGTTGCAGGCGCGGTTGGGGTCCTGGGTTTCCGCAGTGGGCCTATGCCCTGCACTGATGTCATGCGTGCTAGAGTGATGTCCAGGGCAGTTTAGCAAGGGCATCTTCGTTTCTGCGCTTGGGCAGTTTGTGGCAGCACCCACGGGAGTCGGGATGCAAAAAAGATGGAAGATGATTTCAGTGACTTCATGTGAAGTTCCAGAGTTGCTTGTTGCCGCGCTTGCAATTCTCACTTTGTCTGGCTTTGCCCATGTCAGAGGAAGAGATCAAGCGCCACGAAGCGCGTGTGAAGTCCTTAGATGCAGCCCCTCGTCGGCAGGTCAAGATTCGAGCTGTGTCGTTACTTATTTCGACAACCGTGCCCCACCGTGTGGACTGACACGCACACATGCAAGTGCCCATTTGTCCTGGATGATGGACGTGCCAAACAAAAATGACCGAAGATGTCAGGAGGCAAGCGCAGCCTATCTACAAGGCACCATGAACACTTCAAGTTCGATGGGTTTATGGCTGAGGCAAAGGCCTGGCAGAACTTCGCACACCGGATCGTCTGCCTGCAGGCACGAAATGGTAAAACAAGCCCTTGTTTCCGAGATTGAGGCTAAGTGAAGCAGCTGCTGTAGGACCAGCTCATGGAGGAGCTAAAGCAGCCATGGACCTGTTCGACCTGTTCTGGGTCAGGCTTGTGCTACAGGCAGCTCCGCTCCTCCCTTCCCCCTCTCCACATCCCCCCTCTCCTTTGCGTAACAATGCAGATTGCAGGATGCCCCTCAGCAATTGAAGGATATCCGCGTCCCTGCTAGCTTTGGCCAAGCCTCGCCCCCTCAAGTCCCAGGTGCAAAGGTGAAGGCATCCTTTCCGTCACGTACCTGTCGTCCAGTGTGTCCTGGCCAAGACATAGCATTTGCTTAACATGTTTCGTGAGCGGCGCTTCCCTCGTACCCTCTCGTACTCGTTTGCTGAGGTGCACACCCGAAACGAAGATGCATTTCGGGGACGCTGTGCCTACGGTTGTCATGCGTGTGGAGGCTGGGCGTTGGCTTCTGAGCGGGGATGCTTCTGTTTGTTCTTGCCATCGTAGCTTGGAAGCTTCCTCTGCAGGCACGCGGGATGGCCGTGATGTTTATGGTGCTGCCGGCAAAGTTCCCCCGAGTGCTTGGTGGCTTCTCGAGCTGTGCGTAGGGCACATCCAGATGAGTCCTCGCGGTCAGGTCACGAAACTGGAGAGCTGGGCCAGCCTGGCATGCTACTTGTGTGACTTGTGTTGCCAGATCCTGCTCTATGGATGTGCGCAGCTTGCCGAAATAGCTCTTTCCAGGCTCCGGTCTTTGCTTGAAATGTGCCGGGCAAGGGTCCCGCCCTCAGCCTCGCCTTGCAGGGCAGTGTCGAGTCACGGCAGGTTGACACTGATGCTGAGCGTGAGTTGCCTGCCAGGCAAATATGGCCCTCCCTGCGAGACGTGCTGGATCAGATGGAGGAGAGGGTCGGTAAGTATTCACATTCCGGCCAGCAACACGCAATGCCACCTTCGAGAAGCGGTGGGCGAATCCCCAGTTTATTCCGAAGGGGTGGACGTACAGAAACCTTGAAGTCTGATCTCGGAAATATGCAGCAACAATGGTACTTTTGGTTCCTGCGCTTCAGATCCCGGCCAACAATCTTCGTCGTGGTTCTACATGTTTGGTTGTTGACGTGTTTTCAAGGCACCCGCCCACATCCTTGTCTTCAAGACCTTGATTTCTAAGCTGAAAGGCTTCTGCGACCCATTGTTGAAGCTTTGCGGCGTTGTGAATCATCCAGGAGCGCAAGCAGGCAGCTCTATCTGCGGCCGAACCAGTGTCTCCGCTGTCTCCGCTGTCTCCACGGTAGCTGTTTGCTTCGTGGCTGGGCTGCTTACTCATGATATTCAGTGCTTGATGACAAGTGGCCTTTGTTTTTTGCGGGCACTGTGAGATATTGCCTGGCCAACTCGTGATGGTCGGTAGGGGTCATTTTCGTTTGTTGTTGAACGCTTGCGCAGATATGCCGCGCCGAAGCTATGCCAGATGCAGGTGCTAGGTGCAGGTGTGACATCGTGTGCCACAGTGTGACATCGTGCGGCATCGTGTGACATCACGTGACATCGTGTGACGTCGTGTGACATCGTGTGACAAAGTGTGACAAAGTGTGACAAAGTGTGACCATACTGTGAAAACCTGTGGCGTGCTCCAGAGGTGCTCAGCTCATGGGCTGAAGCCATCAAGCAGCAGCCACGTTCGAGCAGCAGTGAAGATGCTTTCTCTTTTTGACGTCATACCTGAAAAGCCAAATCGCCGCTGAGCTGTTTGAAAAGAAGCCGGCGTCATAACAACCGCGTTATGTCCAGTACAGATGGGCTTCAGCAAATTGCTGCAAGCCACGTTGTGACGGTCAAGAGCACCAAGCTCGCAAAGGAAAATAGGGGGACGGAGGACCTGAACGTGCACAGGCAACACAAGCGCATGCTGCAAAGTGGTGATGTAGGCTTTAAAGCGACTGATGACCGGCTTTGTGGATGTGTGGCGCTGAGTTGCCGAGAGGGCATGAGAGGGCATTGCTGTCTTGTCGGCCTGCCTACGCCTCGTCTTGATGTTTAAAGCGTGATGGAGGCCATCCAGCCCACGGAGCCACGGGGAAGCCGAAGCCACTCAGCTCTCTTTCGTAGCGCTTGCTGCAGCTGCACATCAAGCTTTCCGAGACGAGGAGGTCATGAGGTTAGCAAGAAGGTGCGTGCACAGGTCGAAGTCGGAGCCGAAGTCGGGACAAGCCCGGGTCCGAGCTCAACGCTTCAGGCTTTTCTAATCCGTACTTGGTGTTGACAAGGCGGTCGGGTTGTAGGAAGGATGTTTTGGTGGCAGTGTTGTGATCTTGCAATGGAGAATGATTGTAAGTGGTTGCGGGGCAAGAGAGCTTGCCAGGCCCATCCAACGCTCAAATAGCCATGTGCGTTAACATGTGTGGCGTTATTGACTCATGGGAGTTGTGGAAAAACCCACGAGTTCTACGCTCGTCTAGGGGCAGGCATCAGCGGGCATGTTCACTGTGGGGCCAAACTCGTCAATCTGGGGGACTCCAATTTGGTTTCGCTGTTGCACCGCACATCATGGCTAGACATTTAGTAAGACCCACGTGCGGAAGCCGCGAAAGTCCAGGTAGAAGGCTATGTCGTTCTGGGACCACAGTCAGGGGATTTTTGACAAATCCTCATGAGCACCCATTTGCCACAAGGTTATGCGTGTCTGCGGTTGACGCGTCCAACAGACCTGTACTGAATACTAATACCGAATGCCGCCGTATGCTGTGAAAGGCTTCTTTTCTGGAAGCTTCAACTTCAACCAACGTCGGCTGCGGTGGGTTCTGGTTGTTTTCATCCGCAAGCCACTTTGTGCCCCCAAGCCCTTTGCTTACCGAAAGCCCTGGTGAAGTGAGTCTTTGTAGTCCTTCAATGAGTTTGCGCCGATGGGGACGCATGACATCACCGAGCCGAAGCGTTGCAGGGGTACGCGAGGGCGAAGCCAGAATCTTACAGGGCGCAGATCGCGCAAGTTCTGCCAGGCAGGAAGCCTCCAGCCCTGCAAGATCCTGACGTGCTTCCAGGCAGCGCCGTTACAAACTCGGAAGAGGCAGTTCGGTTCGGATGATGGATGAAGGATGCTCAAGTTTGCTCAAAGCTTGGCGCAGGTTTCACCCTGTGTCTTCAGGCCCTCCCAGTTCTTTGAGCCAGCCCCCGATCTGCATCAGAGAGAGCTCCCCACCGCGGCCTCTGTGGGCCTCATGCCTCCATATGCCTCCTTGCTTCCTTTGCCCAGGCCGCGAGGGCCTGTCACAGACTCTTAGCCGCCAGACCACGGCAACAAAAAGAGTCTGCTTATTGAGCTTCACTGAGCAAGAGGATGGTCAGGGCGCAGCTCTTGCGAGATGTAACATGCAGCGCAAGAGGGGCAATGTTGTTTTTCGTTTACGCGGCAAGTTGGCTCTTCTTTTATAGTGTGCGCGTGGGCATCGCTTCGCCATGCAGCGCTTCTACCTCGCGCTGCTGGTTTTTCTGGTGCCTCGGCAGCAGGGCAATCGTTTGGGGCACAGGAACCTGGGGGCTTGTCATGCCTAGTCATGCCTATCGAGTTGCGTCCTGAGCCTCTGCGATCCTCCGCGATCGTTCGCCTCATACTCATGGCTCTCAGTTGGTCTCGAGGCCCAAACCCTGAAACGCACCGTTCTACCAAGGGAGCCTTGCTCCCAGCGAGTCCAAGTTGGCTTCCAGGCCGCTTGTCCTGCCACAGGGAGGGACTAAGGGGCTAGGGGTGCCGCCTCAGTGCTACCTTGCCGGCTGAGGACCTGAAGCAGGCCAGCAAAAAGGACTTAAGGCCAGGTTGCCGGAAAGCCATTGGCCTCGTGTTCGTTCGAACGATGTTCAGGTGAAGCAGCCCTTCCGGCACCTAGCAGAAGAGGAGAAGGTGGTACTGCAGTATTCTTGACCCGCATCGCCACCAGACGATAAAGCTCACTTGCCCATAATCTTCGGCAACGATCGCCGACTGTTTCCCAGAACCCTGAAAGGCAGACTCAGCCGAGGTGGAGGACTGCGGTTCATGCAAGAGGTGAAAGTGGCGAAGCCTCTTGTTTTTGTCGCAGCCAAACTTGGTCCGTAGGCCCCTGAACTGGGAGTTGGGTTGTACAGGAGACGGAAGAGGCCGAGACTGCGGAAAAGGCTGAGGAGGCAGGATTTGGACTCTTTTTATCTGCCGAGCGCCGCAGCTCTCATCACCTTTTCTAGGCGCCATGTCCCTGCCATGTCATGTGGTGTCCTGCTTGGCCCGGCATAGTTCCCCGCATAGGGCACAGTCGGCATAGTGCAGGAAGCTCTGGCTGAGGCAAACGAGGACTTCGGGGTTCCCTCTGGTTGCCGTGGGACATGATGGGACATGGTGCACATATCTTCGCATCCAATAACGGCCTCTCTCTCTGCCACGACGGTTCCATCCTAGTCGCATCAGCATGCTTCTCAAAAGTGCACTTGGAGAGGAACTCGGAGGTGAAGAGGACACTTGTTCGACTTTGGAGATAGCAAGAGCTGCTGAGCAGCGCATTGGATGCCAATGGGAATGATGCCGAAGTTCCCACCAAATTGAGCTTGGCAGGAACTGGGAAGTGAGGCGGAAGCGGCAGAAGGTGAAGAAGGAGGCGAAGAGGGGGGTGAAGAAGGAGGCGAAGAAGGAGGCGAAGAAGGCGAAGAAGAGGAAGAGTACGAGTTTGATGTCACTGACATCGAGGCGCGACCGCCTGCAATCCAAGGGATACCTTCTTTAAGCTGGGCACGTCGGTGCCTAGCAGTATGATGATCGATGATGTAACCGTTTTGGGGCATTCAGGCCAGCATAAGCGTTAACATGTAGAAGCCTAGAGTGGCCCGGCGCGCGAGGTCGCCCACATGCTTCTAGGAGCGGTGATCTTTGTGGTCTCATTGTTCTACTTGGCATCTCGGCATGTGGATTCTGCCGCAGTTTCGGTGGGTTACCTGCAGCACCAAGGTGTTTGCAGGCGCCATGGGCATATGCATTTTCCAACTTAAGGTTAACTGGGATGACGATGACATTCGCTACTACTCCATGAACATCATCAGCACCCTTGCGTGCAGATGCTGTAGGGGTCGTTCGTTTTCCTCGATCCTTGCTGCCAGCAATGCGTCCTCGCAATCTGAGACGTAGGGAAAGATGGCTGCAGGCATGACTATGTCGATCTTCTCCGCTGTCCCTGCCTCAGCGCTCGCGAGGAGCTGCACGGATTGTGCAGTGGTTCAGTATGGTGGCCAAGACCTTCGGGGAGCATTTTGGGCCCCGAAAGTCCCACACAAGGTGCTCATGTTCCAGGGCATCAACGAGCAGATTCGGCGCTTCTCGATCGAGCTGACCCACGCCCACAGGAGATCCATGTCTCTGTAGCGCATACATGTTGGCAGCTTCAGGTGGAGACGCTGCAGACAGTATTAAAAAAAACTTTGAGAGCTTGGGGGCAATGTACGCATCCGCGCTTGCAGGGTTTTTATCCAATTCCTCCACTGCGGCGTGTATGTAGTTGCAGCTTGGCCTGGCCAGAGCAGCTTGCATGGCACATTGTGGAGTGGGTCCTTCTTGCCTTTGACGGCCGCACAAGGCGATGCAGCTGGTGATTGGTGTCGTCTCCGGTGTGTCGCCGGGCGTTCTTGCGGAGCATGTCAACGAATGGTTTGTTTGCCACAGTTGTTGAGGGTGAAATGTACAGCTTTCAGGTTGTACAGTACATCATTTCCGTTCAGTGGAGTCGGAAAGTGTCCATGCAAGATCCCCGATCCGAGCCAAAGCCTGGGAGAACTAAAGCACAGTGAAGCACAGAGTGAGGCACAGCGAAAGCTTCTCGCTCCTCTCTAAAGAGACCTGAGATGGGCTTGGGCCATCTTGGGCCTTCAGCTTCCCTTCCCTTAGGCTTCCAATGTTTGGCAAGACCTCGGGCGACTTCAACGAGAAGAAGTGGACCATTGCCGATGGGCTGAGGCCGGCCCTTTATCCAATTGCCTCCCAGTTTTTGCACCAGATCTTCTTCGTATGTAGCGGGCACAGACTTGCGCAGGTCCGACTACAGCGCGGTCCTGGATGAGAAGGAGGTTTGAGAGAACACGGCTGTTGTGTAGGGAGGGCGTTGAGCATTCAGACTCTGCTTTACATTTTCGGCTTGGCGCTGTGTCGACATGTTCGCCTGTTACACCATGTGATGCGGCCCCATGTGCTGTTTCAGAGAAATGCCGTTGAAGTGTGCCGGTACATTGTGCATTCGTTTGAGGAAGAGTACGTGCGAAACAAGAAAGCTACCAAGAGCGCACCTCGACTCTGCATTGGCTAGTGTTTTTGCTTTTTCGCATCGTAGCAATGGCGCCGCTCGTGCTCTGTCGTGCTCATGCCTCTTGAGCACGGAGACAGGTTTGGATTGACGAATTCGGAGTGGAGGTTCCAGCCGCTCGGTGCGGGGAGTTGCCATTTCCAACATCGGAGCCGTGAGCCATTTTTTTGTTTTTTGGAGTGTTTCGTCGCGCGTTCCGCTGCTTCACAAATCTGTTCTGAGGTAGCTTTGACAAAGCACAAGTTGGAGATTGCCAGACGGCGAATGAGGCATTGGATGGCATTAGGGTTCCTTGTGAGGGCTCAGGATATGTGAAGACCGTGAGGATGGGTGAAGGTGCTGTGCAGAGACCCTGCAGAAGCACCGCCTTTAGCTACCCGAGATGACATCCAGTGCTGCCGGTCTCCGGGAAGGCTTATTCTTTTGAATCCACGTTTTCATGTAGTTGCTATCCACCACCGGGTTCTATTTTTGGAGCAGCCCCCGAAAACAAAGCGGGCAGGTACCGTGAACACAGGAATGCCAAGGGCCTTCCTAGGGAACGCAACTCCAAGATTACCAATACCTTCCCAGGTCTCTTCAAGTTTCTGCAATTTGGGGGGAGAGGGCATCTTGCGAACAGACTGCTGTAGTCAGTGTGGAAGCCCTCCCGCCTCGGGTCGTTCAGGTTTAGTTGAGGATGTACTTGAAGATACTTGTTATTGCAGGTCATTCCAGGAGCCCTGCTCGTTCTATTTCTAGGCTCATGCGGTCGACGTTCTATGCAGCTGTCGGCGCCTTCACGCGAGGCGAAGACAAGCTGAGGCTCCCAAATCATCCCAGAACGACGACAGGTGAAGGATCGCGTGCCGACACGCCCGATATCTGCGACTGTCAGCGCTTTTGACACGTGAAGATGTCCGAGACGATGCCAGAACCTGCGTTGTCGCAAGATCAGCCGGCCCGCGACGCTCGCGAAGTGTAGGTGTAGCTGCGGCATGAAGTATAGAAAGGTCCGAGGGAGTCGCATGCTGGAGGTGCTGGGCGATGCTGCTGGCACACATGTGCTCAGGCTGCATTAACTGCAGAGCCAGGCTCCTCGTGTCTTCGGAGCGCACACTAGAATAATAAACAACTTTGCTGGCCAGGATGCTGAAACGAGCAAAACTTTCATTTACAGAATTAATGTGAAATCGAATGTGAAAACGACTGCGACCCGCAGAATGCAATGCAGATCCAAAGCGAAACCAATACTTGTCCGCAGGCAAGCGCACACTTAAGGAGCAATCGGGGTGGAATTAGCCTGTAGTTTCCCAGGGAGAATACATGGGATGCGAAATGGGTTACAGTATGGGAAGAATATATGGGAAAGTACAAGAATACGAACTTAACACGCCTCTGCGCCGCTCTGGCCCGCCCGGGTTGGGAAGGGGGGGAAGATAGCCATTTTTTTTGTATCTTCCCAGCGAGAAAACAACAAGAAGCACGAAAGGGGATATAGGAAAAAATGTGGGAAAAATTCGAAAAGAATACGCATGGGGGCTGGGGAGGGGCAGTCAGGGTTTGCTCGGGGGGGCTAGGGTAGGGGAAGGGGGTGCCGGGGTGTATTTTACCAGGGAGGGTACAGAAAAAGTACGACTGGGATATGGGAAACATTCTCAGACCGTAGTATACTATATTGAGAACCGTACTCAGTTTCGACCCAGGTATGCGAAATCATAGCTATTTCATAGAAGAGAACGGGAGAGCACGAGGAAAACATGGCAAGAACCGAGGTCTGGTTTTGCGGCCATCAATTCCGGAGCCCAGCTTCAGGAGGTGGAGGCATTGGGCCATGGTATCCCAATCCATGGATCTGATTGAGCCGACTTGGGGGTTTACGAAAATAGGGGGTGCCCTGAATATACCCCCAAAATAGTATATTCCTTAATTTTCGTTCGGACCTCCCAAAAGAGTACCCATATTTTCGTGAACCCCCACTTATGGGCAACCGGACATGCTGACAGCGCGACTCAACTCGCCCAGTTACGACAGGATAACGTAGGTGACCTCATGTTTCTAGGATGTGTCAAAAGCCATTCTAGCGGCTGGGCGAGACTGGGCACCACTGTTCGCAACAGGAATCTGCCTGATCCCCAAGGTAGCCTCCCAGTGATGGACGTGCGTCCGGGTCCATGAAGCAAGAGTAAAGCATGTCGTGCCCAGGGCCTTGAAGTTTGTACCTGTAGGCTGAGGTATGGAGGTTTGAGATTTCGGGGGTTTCGCCTGATGATGGCAGATCTTCACCACATCACCCTTCATGGCAATGATTCCGGCCTGTGCCCAAGCGCAGCTGGGGTGATGGGTGACTGGGGCAGTTTGCTTTCCTGAGGGCCTGATCATGTTCGGCATCCTCCAGGCATGAGTATCAGGGATCTATTCACGTTGGCGGTTTGCATGCTCGCTTTGCCCGCGTCGCTCTCACTCACGGAACTCATGCTCCTCATCACTCTCATGCTCTCACGCTCTCGCATCGTCGCTTGGTCACGTCCTTTCGCTCGCGCACCGCAGGCAATGTTCGCTCTCGCCCGTCTCTTCCGACAAAAAGCCATGGACCGAAGCGGCTTGACTCCACATTCTGGCTTCAGAGTGCGCAAGTGAGAAATATTGAGAAATTACGGCACAAGCCTCACAAGCCTTCTCACCTCACTAGCAGCGCCTCCGCAGGATTTGCTTCCTGAAGGGGCTAGCGTCCCATAGCTCAGGTGATCCTCTTCGGGTTGGCCTCTGCAACGAAACTGCACCTCACCTGCAGTGTCATGTGATGTCATGCGTGTATGTGTTGAGACTGTGGTGTTTTCATGTTATTTCATGCGGTTCCCATTCTGCACACGTTTTCCACAATCCTCTGCTGCGAATCGTACTCGAGCATGCCATGCCAGGCACGCCACACGGCTGACAAAGGCATGCTTCAGTCCGATCTTGCATGCGCTAAGGTCGTGGAGGCAGAAAACGATGTGTGCCACTCCTAGCTTGTCAGTCTCTTCTCAAGCGCAGGCAACGTGAGGTGTATCCTAACGACCGAACTGCCAAGGTCGTCTCTGTCACTGTCCTTCTTAATTGTGCAGGCGCGCGTCTCAGCTTTCCTCACGCTTCCGCATGCCTCGGCATGTTAAGAGAAGCCAAGTCCGTCGAAAGCTGAGGCTTTGCGGTTTGCAGTGGGCGGTGTGATGCCCAACGCGGAGGGCGAGGAGGCCGAGCTTGTGGTGATCTCTAGGCACTGGTACTCTGAAGGTACAAGAGGGAACTTGGCATCTACATAGTCGTTCGTTCATTCGCTGGATGGTGCCCAAATTGCAGATCCCCATCGTGGTTCACAGCTGGTCGCAAATCGGGATCTTGTTCGCCAGCTGCTCAGATCAGCAGATCAGCCTCCAGTGGGGAGGCTACAACGATGAAATGTTCCCATTCGCGGAGGTCAGTGTAGACTCAATTTAAACGCGGCGCACTTCGTCGCCTTACTGTAGCTGATGTGGTACATCGTCACTTGGTCATGTCTCCGCGAGGCTGTGACATGATACGCTTCCAAAGTCTTCCAGTCTTTCGCATGCGGCGTAACAGTGCTTCCGCCGATGCTGCGGGCAGTAAGCCTCGCTGATTGAGCAGGCGGCCAACCGTGTAGGCATGTGCTGCGCCGTTCGCAGCCGAGGCACTGGCCGTGTTCCTTTGTCTCACTGCCATCGTGACGGCCTCACTTCTAAAGCCGTGTCTCAAGAACCTCAGAGGTGCATGAGGTGGAGGTGCAATCCTAACCATTTCGAATTCCTTTTTTCCTGAGTTCTTTGTGGTCTTGTCGTTCTTGGAGGCTAACATGCACGCCAGTGTAGAGAGTTGAGGGAATGCCAGTCTTGGATTCATCCCCCTACTTGAGCGAGGATAGTAAAGTACAGCAAAGGTCCTCTCGCTGAAGCTACTGCACGGGGAAACCTCGGAGGACGATGCTTTCTACTCTAAATTGGCCGCGTTTCATGACAGAGACATGTTTGGGGTCCTTGGTTGGCAGGACTTCTTTAGCCAAAGTTTTCACATGTGCGATGTCTGGTCATGCTTGTGCACAGCTCCTTGAAGGAAGAGAATCAGGAAGAGGAGCCGTTCTGTGACTGGCCTCAGAAACGAGAGTGGAATGCTGTGCTTGTTTGAAGCTGTGCCTCAATCGAGACTCACGCATCCACACGCGCATGCGCACATTTCCCAGCTCATCGCACCAGACGCTCAGAGAGGTCTTGCTAGTATAGGCTCTCTATGGCTCTCTAAGGAGGCCTCCCATGATCCCGGCATAAATCAGCCAAAGACTATTTAGAGTCTTTGGGGCAGTGGAGGCACACTCACGCACGGACGGACACACACACACACACACATACGTACATAACTCGGAGCAATACGTGTTTTTGCCCACGGAGTCCGGAAGGGAACAGAAATAGCTTGGATGAAGTTCAGGTGCCCGAATGGGCCAGATCCTGTGCAACTTTCTGGCGATGTGCTTCGCATGGTTGGTTCTCTTCGGCTCCAAGTTGGCATCTCAACACCCAGGAAACGTAGCAAATGTCTGCAGAAATGCAAGGGGCTTTGCTCGCTGCTCGTGCTGCTTTGCTGGCATCAAGACCTCAGGTGGTTGGTGGTCAAATGGGCATGGGCCTCAGACCGGGCTGCACGGAGCAACTGTCTGGATAGTTCACCATTTAACACTTGAAGTATTCGGCTAGTGGCTAGGCTATGCAAGATGCATTCTGTGGGGATGGTGAAGTTGTTTCTGCACCCTGGTCTTTGGATAGAGGCGGTGGCAAATCATAAAGCATTTCAGCTCTCCGCCCAGGACATGTTCAATTACGAGGCCATGATTGGTCAAATCATCCTGGTCTTGTGCTCAGCTGCGGTGCGTGTGCAGTTGCCGCGGCCAAGTACGAAAGCTACACCCTCGATGCAGAGCAGCGTTTGGCTTCGGATCCTGCTCAGAGATGGACGATCATGCGGATGGCCCCCGTCACCGTGGTTTCATGCTGAGGGGGGAAACTCTCCAGGCCATCATCGTGCCCCTTCCAGGACCACCCACAGTGTTGCGCGCGCATGCGCGCGCCTGGGCCCTCACACCCACAGGAGCTCGTGGGCAGGATCAGAGACTCCCGGATCTTGCTACAGAAATGGGGCTTAGGTTCCGTGCTTTCTAGTGACGATTTCAGCAAGGGTCGTGGGCTACAGATGTTTCAGTGGTGGAAGCCATTATATAAGGAAGCAAGTAAGGGTAACAACTAAATCAAAAGTAAATACATCATTTACTTCGTGTGTTTGTCCCGGCGGGATTCTCTGCGGAACTCTCTGGGGGTGTGCACTCCGATACTCGGGGCTGGCATGCTCGGCAGAACTCGCTGTGGGCTTTGGGGGGTAGGCACCTTAGCTTAGGCATGCTCGGCAGGACTCTTGCGGGCTCAGTGCGGCCTTCTGCGGGGTTCTGGGGGTGAGCTCCAAGGACACTCTTGTCTGGGCTCGCGCCCTTCCGGGCGTCTCCCCTTCTTGGGGCCTAGCGTGTGGAGAGAGAGAGAGAGAGAGAGAGAGAGAGAGAGCAAACCGTTCGACACAACGCCCCCTCTGCGCGCGCCTCCCGAAGAAGAAGAAGAAGAAGAAGAATAAGAAGAAGAGGAGAAAAGCAAGGAAAGGCACCGTAAACTAGCATGCAATGCAGCACATTTGCTTCCAAGGCTCTGGCGCTGTCCGTCGTCTGTGGCTGCGCAGTTTTCTTGCTCCTTTGACAAACATGTCCTGGCCAGTTGGAACCATGTTGGAAGCACAACCCCTCTGAGGCTCGACTTCATCGACGACCAGACAAGAGGATCAAGCAATTCACAGGACCGCACGTATGGCACAGCGTCAGGCGAGAATGAGAATGAAAGCAGCTCGTGGGCAATTCTTCGAAGCTACTGTCCTCCACGCAGGATGGCGCCAAGGCGATTCGCGTGATCATCCAGGCTCACGTCCTGCCGGTCAGTTGAATTGGGCTTAATGCTTGTGAGGCCAACGGCCTCAGGCCTTAGGCCGGATGAAGACACGGGACTCACATCCTCTGACCATTCTGGATCCCGCCTTTGGAACAACAGAGCTTGTCCAGGTTAAGTTTGCTGGCGCGCGTAAATAAATCCGTGAGGCAATCGCCATTCTCATCGGTTTCTCTTGGGAGCACTGTTTTGATGCTGGTGTCCTGGCGGCGGCATCCAGTGCCCCTCACAAGAGGCCGAATTGTCAACTGTTGTGCACGGCAGATTGGCCTGCGGTGCAGAGAATGACACTTCTTGTGCTGGAGCCCAATGGTGATGTGCCGGCAGGCTGATGAAGTTTGTTATGGGCGCCTTGGGAAAGAACAGATCTACTGATCTACTGTGTGCATCGCCTCCCTGAAGCATCATCCACCTTACAGATGCATGAGTAGCATGAATCTAGACGAAACGCTGCCAGACGGGATGCGTGGCTAAGGCCTTGTTGTCTTCTTCTTCCTGGTGCCTGCCTGGCGCAGGTCCGGGATGAGATCAAGTTCAAGGGATGTGTGATAAGCCCTTCAAAGGCCTCGAACGTTCAACCGGCGCGGAAGTGCGCGAGTAGCATTCATTGCTGCTTCAGTGTTGCGAACCAAATTCCTTTGACCGCTGCCTGGGCACTTTTTTCTGCAGGCACATTCTCACAAAGGTTATGGCGTACGAGCAGATGAAGCAGCAACGGGCCCATGTGAGCAAGAAGAAGCTTCGCCATTCGAGACATGGCTGCACAAGCGGCCCAAGATGGCAAGGCTTTCCGCGGGCTTCTTTGCCGCGTTTGTCGCTGTCTTGTGTTGCCCAGGCAGCGCAACAAGGACTATCGCCCAGTTGCAGAGGAGGGGCGCCCATGGCACCCAAACCGTTGAGTCACTATAGTCCGCTGCAGGTTGGAGTGCAGTGGGGTTGTTTTGTTCGGTTACACCGCCTCCGGTTTTAGCACCAGGCGACAAAAAGCGAGCTGGAAGTGCGTATTGAAAACCTGCCTCTCAGCACCTGCTCCACTGGACAATCCACTGGACCAGGCAACCAGCAGCCCGCGTGAGCTCCAAGTGGGGGTCAAAGTGGAGACGCCGGCGTCTGCTGGAGGGCCCTTCCTTGTGGTTCCCAAGGGCGAAAAGGCCACCTGGCAGTGTCAGGGTAGTCTACGGCTGCCTACGGCCTTTGACTCGCAGGTTTGCCAAGCTACTTGTAGATGTATCGGGACAACAGGATGTGGGAGGCTTGGGGTAAATGTGGGTGTACCTGGCGTGGTATCCCATACTTGTCCGTGTGTATTTCTCAAAGAGTATGAAAACCGAGCAAGGTGAAAGTCTGGCCGTTGGATGGCAATGACGAGTGGGTCTGGGCCACGCACAATGGCCGTGGAGGACTCTTGCCGAAGAAGGCCGTGCCGATGTGAGATGCGGAAGAGTCAGAAGAGGACCGCCAACAAGGCTTTAGGGTTTAGGGTTTAGGGTTTAGGGTTTAGGGAGCAGCACAGTATTTTCACCATTTTTCACCAATGCCGCATCGACATGCAACGTTGTGCTCAGTTCTTGACAAACCGCCAGCAGAATGAGCAGAAGACTCTTGCGCGTGAGCTGTCAGGATGCCATCTGTGACGTGCTGAGCTGTTGCGACGCCCTGAGATTTTGAGCGCGTGCAACGTGCTGAAGAAGAGCCATGCCAGGTTGGCAGGTGGCGGCTGGTTCTGGTTTTCCTTGGTTAAGAGGTACACGCTAACGCCTAATCCCTGGCGTCTTTGCATGGTCAATCGTGCCACCCTGGTACTCTGCCAAGACCCCCCTTAGAGTTTCACCCCATTTTGGTCATGCAGCAGTTACGAAGTTAACTGTCTCATGCGCTGCCCTGGCCATCGAGCCAACCACGGTTTCAGCCAAAGCTATCCAAAGCTAAGCCTTCACCATGCTGAGATGTCGTTCCGAAGCCTTGGCCTGCGTGCGAGTGCAAGAGCCGAAACCTTCACGCAGAGCACGGTGCGGGCGAGCGGATAGACACTCCGCTCTCTGCCCGGTGGCGGGCTTGGTGGCAACATGAAACGTGCAGACACCTGGCCCAACCTACTGAAACAGTACTGAAACTCAAGGTTGTAAAGATTGTACAATCACAGTTAGAGTTGTCTTCTGTATGCTGTGCAGGCGCTTCTGAGGAGATCCAAGGCTCCTGGAGCGCTTTTCCAGGTGAAAGAGGGAGATGTAGACCTCGACTCGCACTAGTCTCTCGCCCTTTGAAAGCCGTTGTTTTCCCTCTAGTCGCTCGCGCGTTGCGGGGCAGTCTGTCTCATCTTCTGCAGGTCTTCATCCCGGCCTTACTTCCCCGAAACAGAATAATCGATAAATACTTGGTGTTTACCACTTCAGCGCTGAGTCACACGTATCTGTTCACTGAGTTCAGTCTCGCCTGTCCTCGTGCGAGCGGATCCTTGATGCTTGCCCTGGCTTGGAGCTATGGATGGTCCACCGTCTGAAAATGCCAGAGAAAACATGTGGCAAGCTGGAAGACCGTGGAAGCATGCGTCCGGCTACATGACCACATGAGACCAAGTACGGACAGGGGCACGACATCGTGATTTGTGAGAGAAAGAGCTACAGGCCTGCTACGGGCATCTGCTCTACTCCACCGCTGTCTAATGCCGCAGTTGGATCGAGCTCGCTTACCGCAGCAGAACGGATGTGACATGCGAGGATGTTTGCATGTGAAGCCTCGGTGCAAGCTTCAAGGAGTGCCTTAGAAGAACTTCCGATATCAGCACACACACAAAGCTGGTCGCTGCAATGTCAGAGAGCGAGTCCGTCGAAAACTCCATCGAAAACTCCACAGACTTCGAGGCGCGGAGATTTAGAGTTTCTGCTGTAAAGTTACGATGTTTCTGTCTGTGCCATGTTCTTTCCGAGGCCGATAATGGTTCTGACAATGATCCAAAGAAAGCAGGCATCGATTTGGGCAAGGCCTGTCACCACTTGTGACTTGGCTGAGGCAAGTGGCCCGGAGTGTCCTTGTCTGTGCTGCGTCCCCTGCCAGCAGCAGTCAGGTACTGCTTTCGCCATCTGCTGGTGCTGTTCGTGCTTGGCATGTTTCAGACATTGACCTGGGCTTAAAGTTTGCAGGGCATGCCTCCGTGACTGTGACCCCGTTGCGTGCTCGCTTGTGATGTTGTTTTCCGGAATTAGCTACTTCCAGGAGTGAGTGTGAAATGTGTTGCAACAGGAGCTTGTGAGGTCGGATGTTGCTTCACTGTCTGAGGGCCTTTCCCATAGACGTTGACCAACTAATTTTCGCATTTTGGCGATGGCATAGCTGAAGGACATCAGAATGGTCGGTCATGTGCTCCTCCTCTCCCTCTCTCTCTCTCTCTCTCTCTCTCTCTCTCTCAGGATTGGCCCAAGTGTACCCTACATTGTCGGTACGCCACTTGTCACGATTGGAGGGAAGTATGTAGGTTAGCAACAGATGCCCGGCGTGCATGTGGGATTCTGGTTGCTTGGCCGCTGAGATTCTTCGCTGCGAAGTATGGTGGGGGCGATTGTGAGGCCGAAGGGGTCCAAAGCTGCTTATGACATTTGGTGTCCTTTGCCTCGCACCGTCGCAGCAGGAAGCTGTGAGGCTAATGCGCACAATGCTTTCCGCCCCCGAATCCGTTGCAGAATGCCGGAGGCGCACCCTTCCTCAGATCCCTGCCGAAGGGCTGCGACCTTTGCTGCCCTTGTCTTCGGCTGGTCGAACGCGGCTGCCTCTTGGTGAGAAGCAATAGATTGACAGCTTTGGCTCGGGGTGCTTAGATTTGGTTTCGGATCGAATAGGGCCCGGTTTCTGGATCCAATCAGCGAAGGCCAACCTCGTGGCCATGCTCGTGGCCGTGGCTTGGCGATTACATATACACCAGTAGGTACATAGATATAATTATAAGTGCAAATCTCAATCTAATAAATAAGTATATACATATATGTGTCTACAACTGTGTGTCCTGACAACTAACTAAGCAGGGTGCCATACACGGCGCAAGCAAAGCACAGAATCAGAGAGCTGGCCATTGTTGTGGACTTGTGCTGGTTTTGCTAGCAGTTGTCTGCGGCAAAATTTCCGCTGCGTTCTCGCTTATGCTGTGATGTTCGAGGAAGAGAAGGTCTGTCCTGTAATTCAAGGGGGGATGTCGTCCACTGCCTGCATTCTCCATTTCCTGCTGCTCGCTGCTCTGGGTGCCTCTGCCATCGTCCCTTCAAGACAGCTTTTTCCATGAACGTAGCACCCGCTTAGTGTACCAAACTTCGAGTCAAACGTACCCAGGTGTGTCTGGGCTCGTGCAGCGATGTGCTGGGAAGGAGACCTCTGATCCGCGCGTTTGGCATTGCCACGCTGCCGGGCCGGTGAGTTTTTTCTTTTGTGGCACCTCCTTGCTGCCACACAGTGAGTATGGATGCATGGTCTGCTGCCAAGATGGTCTCTCAGACAAGGCTGCTGCCCATCGTGGCTTTGTCCTTGCACGTGACCACAGGCCATGCTTCGTGTTTCTCTTTGTCGAAGCTTGCCACCTTGGAGCATTGCTCTTCAGCAGCTTTGATATGAAGAATTCTGGGACCAGTCGCAGGCCTGACGCTGTGGATCTACCTGGTGTTGCAGCCATTGGCCTCTGCCTTAGACGGGTTCTGGCGGGAGAGTGAGGGCAAGTTTTGCCCTCTCAGCAATGAAATGTCAGGTGGAGTGCTTCGATGTTAACGGAGCGTCTCGGATGACAAGAGGATGCTGTAGCCAGTGCCGTGACACTTCCAGGGCGCTTGCCGTGGCTTGATTCCATGTCCGATCGACAGCTGTGGTATGGGCAGCGCATAATGAGTATAGTGATGTCTCGAGGTGTACATGGCAATCATGGCTGATGCTATTGATGACCCACAGGCCGGGAACTAGCTGCAAACACGCAGGTCTTGGGAACAGCCAACCTTCACCCAGGCAGCTTAGAGTTTCATAGAAAAGCCCGACGCTCCCCGGCTTGTCAATGTAGCAGGTCTTGTGCGGACCTTGAACACAGAACCTTGCACCTGCTTCTGCTAACGTGAGCATCGAAACACCGAGGAAGTACCCTAACCCCTAACCCCTAAACCCTAAACCCTAACCCCTAAACCCTAAACCCTAAACCCTAAACCCTCTGTGGAGTGATCCCAGACGGGGTCTGCTGGGCGAGGGACAAAACATACAAACCCGGCAAATACCCCCCCGCCCCCCCCAACTCTGGGCCCAGAGGAGCGGGCGGCAGCCTTTGGCAGCTTCATGGCCGCCTCCGGGCTGCTGGCGGGCTCGGTACCCTGGGCCGCAGAAAGAAGCAGCCTACTTATTAGAGGAACCCCCAAAATAGGTGGGCATTTCCCCAAATAGAGAAGTACCCTTCTTATACCCCCAAAGTACTGATTCGAGGAACCCCAAAAAGGGTATCCCTATGTCCAGAAACCACCATATTATGGTAGGGTTCTTTCGGTTTCTGGGGGCCCATTTCGGGGGTGAGATCCACAAGACAAAAAAAAAGGAGCGAGGGATGTTCAGATCTTTAAGGTCGCCTTTTCAGCGCTTATGGTAGCATGCATGCATACATGCATACATATATAAACATATATATATACATATATATGTATGTATAGATTTGTATATATGTGAATATGTTATCTACTATTATAGTAAGCAGATTTGTATAGCTCACCCCTTGTCTTACCAAAAAATCCATGTCGCCTTACAAGGCCTTTAGAATCTCTTCACGTCAGCTCCTCACACTCCCAGGGTTCGATCCGCCTCCTCATTTATCCCGTCCCCCCTATTTTTGTTGAAGCACATGTGTCAGACAAACAGGCCTTTTTTGAGCCATCTTGGGAGGACGGAAAAGTCATGTCGTTCCAGCTTGTTTCTGCACAACGAAGAACATGTAGGAAGCCGTGGGCATTGCTTTGCATGTTATGGGCCCGAGTTGTTGATGCCTCGTGGGCCTCACAATGCAATTTTGAAGGCGTGCACAGTCGTGGAAGTAGGTAGGAGGGTGCTGAATTTAGGATTCATCTGGGGGCTCTCGGGGACCAAGTTCGAGACAAATGAAGGAACGCAAAAGCTTTGGAATCAAAGCTGGCCGCCTCACAAATACTCTGCAGGTGCTGCCCTTCGGGTTCATTCTGCCGAGCTCTTGGCTTATTTGGGTGTCACTCGCTGCTGGCGCAGCCGCTCTGCCTGCACTGATGGGTTGTCCTGTTGATGAGGGCAGGCTTTGAGTTTTGGTGCTCCGTGTTGGCTTTGTTGCATGTAACCGTCTCCTGCGCATCCTGTCCGTGTGCTGAAGCAGAGAGACCCCCAGCTGTTGCTCTCTTTGCACTCGCAGTGCACGCGCTTTCGGGCACTGCCGGGCTTCGGGAACTTGGAAAAGTAGAAACCCTGAAAACCCATCAAAGTCGTCATTGATGAACTTCCTCCCCCATGGTGTGCTCGTTTCGTGCGCTTTTGCCTGCCAAAAACAGCTGCTCCGAGGTGAAACTGATGTACTTGTTCTGTGTTTTCCCAGAAAGTGCCAAGAACGTGTACCTGTGGCAGCAATTGGTGCGGAGAGGTTCAGTGATGTGGTGGAATCTAAGCACTTCTGAGCTGCAGAGAAGATGCTGGTCAGAGGTTCTTGAATCCCTTGAGTCTCCTGAGCTTCCTTGACACTCGCTCCTCTGAGGCAGACTGCGAACCGACCACGCTCGTCGAGCGGCTCGTCGAGCAGCTTGAACCCGAAGCTTGGATGGCGAGCATGGAATTTTGCCGAAACAAGTGGGAACATAAATGTCGGGGTGCAAGCGCTACGCCTGGATCTTGGAACGCTCGGCGCACGAGCGTTCTGTGACGTGTCGACAGCGGTGTCGAGATTCATGTCTTTTCGGGCTCTGAAAGCGCGCGCCTCAATCAGCTGTTCCGGGACCTGGGATGTCTGGGTGGATTCGCGAAATCAGCCGAAGGAGGCGGTGGTGTGGAGCCCTGCTGCCACGCAAGTTTCACCATGATGGGCAAGGGAACACCAGAAGAAAAGCTGCTGAGGCACTGCGTGGACTGTGTCGGGCTGCAGTAAAGAAGCACCCCTGAGCGGGGAAACTCTGCTGCTTTGCCCAAAACCAACAAGATGTGCGTGATACTGGGCTTGAGGGGAGGCACAGTCTTCTTCTTCGTAAGCAATCTCATCACTGTGATGTCTTGGCTTTTGGGGGAACATGGGGAAAGCTAGTGGAGCGCTTGGCGCTCCCCAAGCTTCGGAAACTGTTATGCCTGTTATGCTTCAGAATCCAAGCAAGCTCCTGAGGATTTCCTCGGTGAGCTCAGCTTTGTCTCTACTCAATCGCAACGCAACTGGACTTGCCATTGATGGAGAGCGCACTTCCTCTCCTTGGCGATAGCGTGGAGTAGCTTTAAACTAAGCTTTACAGTGACTGTCGAAGAGAATTTGAAACTTGTGGGGGTGTTTCCGAAAATAGGGGTACTTGTACCTTATTGGGGTCCTTAGTAGAAGGGAATCCTACTATTTGGGACTAGATTAGGGGTGCCTCATTTTCCCTAAACCCTAAACCCTAAACCCTAAACCCTAAACCCTAAACCCCAAACCGAGCACCCATGCACCCAGTCCGGTTGATATAACCAATTTCCCTGCAGAGTGTCCGAGAGGTCAGCTAAGCGCGTGGCAAAAAAAAACCCCAAACCTTAAACGCAGCACGTGCCTGCCTTGTGCGAGTGTGAGAGCCGAAACCCCCAAGTGCCTTGACAAGGCATTCATCGCCCGGCTGGCCATGGTCCTTGTTTGCGCGGGCCTCGCGTCCTCCGGCTACGCGATTGTCATGCCTCCGCAGCTTGGCTTGCATGGCCCAAAAGGGTTAGGGTTAGGGTTTAGGGTTTAGGGTTTAGGGTTTAGGGTTCCTCAGTCCGTGCTCAAAAAGGGTTTAGGGTTTGAGGTGCCGAGTTTTGAAGCAGAGTTGTTTTCGGGTAGCATCGGGAGCACCACTCAGGTTCATGATGGGATACCTTGGCTACACCCGCAGCAATAAGCTGGTACTGGTGTGTGCTGCTGCCCTCTCAGCCTTGGTCGCTTGGGCACGCATGGTGGTTTATTTCAATCTTGCCGTAAGGTAGGGGGCGAGGTGGTCCATGCTTTGATGGGGTAGTGTTGCAGATTGCGCCGAGGTTTTGAGGCTTTGTTCGTGCATCCATCTCCTTTTTTGTATGCCAGAGCAGCGTGCCCTGTTCGACTTTGAATTTGCCCCAGATATCCTTCACGTGCTTGCTGGGGCCGGCCGTGAAGCGATGCGGCCAAGTACGAGTTCTTCAGTATTGCCTGGCTGCTTCCGTCTTTGGCTTACGTCCAAGGCCTTCTGTCAATCGTCCCATAGTTCGTAGGGTGTGCGCATGCGTTGAAACCTAAGTGCCGAGGTGTTTGTGCCATTTCTCTTTGCTTTCTGCAAGGACTTCGGGTTCCCATGCCCCAAGCCTCGCAGTTCAAAGGTGAGCATCTCACGTCGTATCCTTGCGGATAGGTTCTAGTTCTACTGTAGAGATTCCAGGGTTCAACAGGGCCCTGAGATTGCCTAGAAAAGATGAGCACATCGAGCAGGGCACTTCCGCTGTTATGGACCGTTATGATCAAGTAGGCATGTCGGGGACGTCGGGGCAGCAGGAGCAGTGGCAGCTGGCCGCGATATTGTTTTTGTTCACCGGCCCGATTGCTCTTGCTGCGCCTCTGGTGCAAGCACTGTTCCTCGGCTCAGCCTTCCGTGTGTTCTTTTGCCATAGCTGGTGCATTTTCCAGCATCGGTGCGGATCATGAAAGGAAGAGCATGTTGGTGTCCGAGTCGGAGCAGGGCTTAGTCCAGGGCGCGGTGGCCTCCATGACAAAGGCTCGGAAGTGGGTGGGAAGTGGGTGGCACGGGTTGGGTATGACTCAGGATTCAATGAAGCCTGTGCGACGAGCCAGGAAGCAGACATCACGCTGAAGAGTGACTAAGATGATAGCCTCAAGCCGCTTCGCATCTTCGAGAACCGGTCAGGGGGCAGCGACTGTTGGCTTCGTGATCTTCAGCGCCGTGTTCGGGCTCACCAATGGTGGTGGCAAGGTGACAACCTGGCCGGCAAGAAACAATAGAGCGAGATTTAGGTAGACTCAAATCAGTTTCGCGCGGAAAGCTGCAGGGGACATTTCTTGAGCCACTGCCTTGCCATCCCGGAAGAAGATGCGAAAGCCCTAAATGCCGAAAACTGTCAGGCCGACTCTGTCCGCGCAGTTCTTCCATCCTTTGCGCTCATTGCAACCTGGCTTCGTCATAGCTACTGTGACTGCTCCTGCTAGAAGGCAGCTGGACTTGACGCCACCTGAGGCTGGCATGTTTGCCATCTCCGCGGGGTTCGTGCAATCCCGAGCAATTTGTTTGTGAGCTGGTCGCTCCGAAAGAGGATTGCTTTTGTCCCCAGGCCAGCACTTTGCCTTTAACACCGCCGCCGCCGTTGGAAGAGAAGTTGCTGCTAGACAATGCAGACAGCGGTCCGGCAGGGTTGGGCGGGGAATGGGCAGGGTGAGCTGTTGGTAAGTGGATGGTACCGTGCCAGAGTCTGCAGTTCCTTTGCGCTTGACCCGGCGCCGTAGCTGCATAAGACAACCAGTTTGCAGGATCTGACTGCTGAGCCTCAGGGCTGCCGGCTGCCGACTTTTGCATGCTGTTTTCCCACATATGCTTAGGCCAGGCTGCGTGCATCGGAGTGAACTGTAACTGCACTGGAAGCAGACGATCACGGTAGGTCCTCTGATGCGCCAGGCGTCTACCTTATCCATGTGATCCATGTGATGCTGAGAAAAGAGTCTCAGGGTGAGTCGTGTTTAACTGAAGCACGTTGACCCGAACAGTGAGTTCGGTCCGAGAGAAGGCGCTTCTCCGAGAGAAGTTGCGCTCGTGGCAATATTTAGGTGTGCAGCTGTTGCCATACAAAAGGCAATACAGAGCTGTCGGGTGTGGAGCGGCCTGCGTGATGCCGGCCTAAAAAAGGGGAGATTGGAACAGCTGGTGTGACAGAGAAAGCATTGAGAGTGGTTTTGGTTTGAAGCTTTCGAGTTTAGGGGTTTAGCTCCCTTGGCTGTTGGCTCTGGTGTTGCAAGGCCAGCAAGCTTCTGCAATCATGGTTTTTGTGCGGCAAGCACGTCCCAGGTATCGTCCCAACAGCTTGTCGTTTTTTCCATCATGAGAAGATGACCTAGCACAATCTGCTTTGATGGTGAGCCATTCGATAGTTGGGCTGCGTCCATGATGGGGCCATGGCCGATGATGCTTCCACCCGGAATTCACCAGACTACTGCCACATGGTGCCTGGATTCCATTGCGATTAGGGGGCCCGGCATACTTCACCGCAAAGGCTTTCTTCGTCTTTGGCCTGTCCCGGGCAGTATCCGAGGACAACGAGTTGGAGGAGGACCAGAAGCCGGTCAGTTCCAGATGGAGCACCGCTTCCCACCACCTGCAACTTCGAGAGAGTTCAGTCTGGTGACGCCTTGTGTCGTTCCCTCAGCCTGAAGAGCCTTAGGTACCGCTTTCGCTACCTCCTGGGACTAATGGCGATCGGCGTCTGCCAGAACACGACCTCGCCTTACCATTGGCAGAGATTCCTTCATGGGCTTGAACAGGCTCATGCTCGCGCAATCTTATTTTCGTTGCAGTTTCTTCGTACAGATCGCTCGTCTAGGTTTAGGCTCACTTCCATCCATGAATTATGCAGCCTGTTGGCTCAGGATTGGGCCAAGCATCCCATACATCGAAAACACGCACCTTGCGCATAATGGCTCTCTCATCTCGTATGCAAGAATCCGTTGGCATACATGCACATGATTTGACATGCATAGCACGCAAGAGTCCTGACGCAACACAAGGTTCTTTGCAGCAAAGTATGGTGGGGATGACTGTGAGGCTCGTTGCAGTGGTGGCCAAATTTATTGATGTTTCTGACACAAGGTTCGAAATCGGTGCGTTGCAGGGGAAGCCTTGAACCCTAAGTGAGCAAAAAAATCCCGTGCCTGTTCGTTGATGGAGAGGGAAGCCTTAGAGAATGGAGCATTCAGTGTTGATGCTATGTGCTAAAGTTTACGATTGATGAGTCTTGTTAGCACATGCTGCCATTTCCCTAGCTGGTCCACGTGTGTCTGTGACGTGCTTATTGACAAGCAGATCAAAGGGAAAATGCTACAGGCCGGAGGGCATATTTTGGGTGTTTCTTTCAATCGTTTTGGGTGTGTGTGTGTGTACACCTGTTTGCCAAGGAGTATTAATTTGCGGGGGCAGAGGTGCCCATGTCACTTGTCACTTCCTCTGCCAAGGAAGCTGAGTGACATGAGGCAAGGACATAGACCAGGGACACCTGGTCTACGGTACCTGCAAAATCGCAGTGCTTGTGACACGATGACACGCTGAATCCCAAATTCACGACTTCTTCGAAGAGGATGCGAACCTGTGTGTGTTCGGCAGGAATTCTGTCAAAGTGCCTGTTCTTGATGGCCACTGGCTCCCGTTGGATACAAGCAAGCGACTTCGGCTGTGGTCGTGTCTTCTGAGCAGTTGTGTCTTCGTGATGTGACCAGACCTCTACGTACCTGCAAAATCTCAGTGCTTGTGACGCAATGATACGCTGCATCCCAAATCGACGACTCTTTCGAAACAGGGTGCGAACCTCTGTGTGTGTGTGCGTGGATGGAATTTTTCATTGGTTGTGGAATTGATTTTTTTCATTCCGGTCCAAGCAAGCCCTGCCTCCTTATCTTCGAATCGTCAGGGTGGATCGTCGCTTCCGGAATAGGAGCTGTCGAATCAAGTTCGGACATCAAGTTTGTTCCGGTCGAATCAAGTGTCGACTTGCTAACAACGGACAAGAGCACAGTGACGACCGCAACCGACAAGTTGCACAGCTTCCCATAGCTTCGCTGGCGTGGCAAGGGAAAAGACCGCCAAGCCCCATGCAAAGCGTTAAACGGAAAGAGGAATCACGAAAGCTCCCCTTTTCGGCTATCCCCGGTCTGGTGCCGGGAAAACCATCGTTGCCAAGGGGGCCTGTTTTGGGCTAGATTTGGGGCCCCCCTGATGCTGCTGATGCTGGCCTGGCTGTGGTGCCAAGGGGGCCTGTTTTGGGCTAGATTTGGGTTTCTTTGGTAGGTGTTTTTCGGAGATGTTCGAAGGAGAAGCGGGGCCCCCCTGCTGGCCTGGGTGTGGTGCCAAGGGGGCCTGTTTTGGGCTAGATTTGGGTTTCTTTGGTAGGTGTTTTTCGGAGACGTTCGAAGGAGAAGCGGGGCCCCCCTGATGCTGCTGATGCTAACCTGGGTGTGGGTGTGGTGCCTGATGCTGCTGATGCTGGCCGTTGCGTGTCATGTGCGACAAGAGAGAGAGAGCTACTTGAATCACTGAGCTGGGCATGCTGCAATGTCTGCCCGTCTATGGTTCGCAAAGGTGTCTGTCTCATTGCTCTCAGACGTTCGAATGAGAAGCGGGGCCCCCCTGATGCTGCTGATGTTGGCCTGGGTGTGGTGCCAAGGGGGCCTGTTTTGGGCTAGATTTGCGTTTCTTTGGTAGGTGTTTTTCGGAGACGTTCGAAGGAGAAGCGGGGCCCCCCTGATGCTGCTGATGCTAACCTGGGTGTGGGTGTGGTGCCTGATGCTGCTGATGCTGGCCGTTGCGTGTCATGTGCGACAAGAGAGAGAGAGAGAGCCTAGGGGGCCTCTGACACGATGAACCTGAGCCCGCAATGCCCACAAGAAGTCAGGGTCTCACCTTTTCACAGTGGTCAACGAAGAACCCCGGGGGCTAAAGTGTAGGGGGATAAAGGGGGGCTTGCTTGCTTGCTCAGGTTCAGGTTCGGATTGGGGGGCTTTGGTTCGACACAAAGGGGTCATTGATCACCAGTTTCACGTCACACCGGGCACCGGGGTACCAGCAGCCAACACCACCTCACTGGCTAACGGGACTAAAAAGGGGGGGCTACGGGTTTAATGGGAGGAAAGTTGGCAGAGTACACCCGGGCACCGGACACCGACCACTCCACCCCGAAACAGGGGCGGGCAAAGATGCCCGGGGCGCAGACCCCAAGCCCCTAGAAAGAAAGAAAGAAAGAAAGAAAGAGAGAGAGCTACTTGAATCACTGAGCTGGGCATGCTGCAACATGTCTGCCGGTCTATGGTTCGCAAAGGTGTCTGTCTCATTGCTCTCTGCATCTTCCGGGCTGAGGGTCGGCGCTTTGCTCTCTCGGCGCCTCTCTGTTCCTGTAAGCTCCGTGTCCCCAGTCCTAGCCCTACTAGAGCTTTCGTCCCAGCCCGTGGCTCTCAAGTCCTTTGTAAACAGGTGTGGCCACACACACACACAAAGCCGCCGGCGCACATGTCCGGCGCGTTCTCACCTCGCATCACGAAAACACGCAGCCTGGCAGGCCCACCCGTTGTCGGATGCATGCCGAAAGGGTGCAACATATGCAGCCGAGATTACTAGCTTCACCTCTGCAGCGGCATCTCGGAATCGGAATTCCTACCAGTACATGTGACCCCCTTTTACCTCCCCGTTTTCTTTGTGCACCTTAAAGAAGTCGTAGTCATTTTCAGGGTAGCGAAACCGAGCCGATGGTTGCCAGCAAGGCACACGCTGTGGCCATATTCATGGCTGATCCTTGGCCTGAATTCCGGGGTAGCATTTGTGATGGCTTTTGATTGGCTATTTGCTGATCTTGGGTCTACTGACACAGGTTTCTGGATCAGGTCATCAAGCTCAGTATCGTTGTGTTGCTCCATCACATCTTTGCCGGTCCATGTATATCTGAGGTTTGCTTGGGCTCTTACAGCGACAGTCTGGGACGGAGACCTTTGCTGAGGGCATTTGGCACGATTACGTTGCCACCTCGGTGCTAGCTTTCCGCCACACAGGAGCTTTGTAGGGCGTTTCGGCACTGGCACAGCTGCAGCAACCACTGCAGACATCAATTGCCCAAAAATGAAAATTTCCAGACAGGAGGAGCTGGAGTGGTAAAATGCAGACAAGGCAGTAGGTCTTGTGCGGTGGTTGGTGCCATCTATTGCCAGGTTGGTTCATCTATTGACCAGCGTTACCAAAATGGCAAAGCCATGAAATCACAGCATCTCGTAAAAACATCGTTTCCTTTGCGACCAACTGGCCAAGCTCCTCCGGCTTGCAGAGCATCACAGCGGACAAACGCTTTGGGCATCAGGCATACTATCGCAGTGTCAATTCATTCACGATCGGCATGAACCTAGCTCTGCCCACAGAAAGGCATCGCGCAAGAACGTCTTGCTTGGCCGCCGCAAACCCAGCAGGGCTACGAAACCCACCTGCGAGAACAGCAAAGTTCCGGACTTCTTGGCCGAACTCAGCAGACGCCGGCCACCGAAAATCGAGGAGGGCCAGAGTCTAAGTATTGGCTTGTTTTGGGTTTGGCTTCAGCCAGGGAGCGGGTCACAAAGGCGAACAGCCAAATGTAAAAAGTCAAGCAAGATATTGCAAAGCAGAAATGCGCTGAAAGCTTAAACTTAGCCGACAAGCAACGACACGTCAGGCTGGACAACAGGAATCAAAGCCCACGGCACATTCAAGGCTAAGCATGAGCTGACGGGTGAACTTTTTTGCTGGCACTCATTTACTTTCCAGTCGTCAGGATATCACATTCTGGGGAACCCAGCAACACGTCATAGTTTGCATTCCTATGTAGACATGTTCAAGGGTTGCGGGCTTGGAGACTAGATCGACCTGCAAGCCAAAGGCCCCGAAACGCCCTGACGGCTTTGTTGCGCCATCCAAAGGCTCCTGCCAACGCTGGCGCTGGTGCTGCATGTGATTGGAGGCCAGCTGTGTTCAAGTTGGTTTTCAAGTTGGCTTAGCCAGACATTGTAGGTCCGCAGACAGCTGCGTCAGCCTCTTCTCAGTCCAGCCTACCTTTGCATTTATCTTGTCAGTCTGTTGTCTGCTAGGCGTGAGCCTGTGGCTATACTTGGTCGTGCGGCCTGTGGTACTGCGCTCAGGGAGCGAACATCTGGCCACCAAAGCCACTTTATCTCCTCTTAATACACTGCATATGTAGGGGCTGCTTGCTGAGGTGGAGGCCTTCGACATCAATGGTGCTGCCCGGCTGCATTTTGCGATACTGTGTGGTCGCTCAGAACCCTACCTTTAAGGCCTTCCCAGGGAGCATGGCCTTTGTTCCCTGCCGTCTAACATGTCGAACATCTTCAGGTGTATTTGGCCATGATGAGTGACCTTATCGAGGATCCTCAGGCGCACCTGTTTCGGGGGCTTCTAGCTGTCTCTACACCATGCACCCCGCCCAACCTGAAGTGGAAGGAGCGGGCTGCGGCATATGGCGTGTTTATGGCGGCGGCTATGCTGCTTTTCGCGACGGTGCCCTGGGGACCTGGGGTTCACGTTGTGCCCCGAAGCCCTGCGCAAAGCCGCCGGGTTATGGGTCGTTGACACCGCTTCGCGTGTCCGCCGTGGCCGCTCGGTTGGCAAAAATCCCAAGGCAGGATGCAGAGACGGCCCAGTGCCTTCGCACACGAAAACAATGCAAGATCCAAAGCTTTCCTCCAGAGGCAAGGGATTGGGGCATTTACCCGGCATGGCCCAGCGCCTTTCATCTCCTCATCTCAGCTCTGAACGCCTCTAAATCTTGTGCTGAGGAGGGTCAGGGCAGGGCAAGTCCAGCTTTTAGAACTGCCAAATAGCACACCCGTGGACGGAGGGAATGCCCATGGGCTACGTGCTCCCTCGTGGCATGGCACTGGCGATATCAGTCACAGCTGGCATCGTTCCCCGGCAAGACACCAGCCGCGAACAGCTGCGCGAGCCATAGAGAGCAAGGCCTGTTGGCACCCAAGGCCAAGCTGGTGTACCTGTTCCTTGTGTTCCCAGAGACTGCCAGGCGACATCCATGGCAAGCATGATGTTGCTGAAGAATCAGGGCATCTTTCTCCATAGGTTTTGATGGGCTGAAATTTTGTTATCAGCTAACTTGACAGCACTTCTCGCTACTTGAGTTCCTTCGACCATCGCATGGGCATGAGAGGAAGGCTGAGCGAGCTTCGACTGTGGAGCCAAATCCGACTCTTGGCACCAGCACAGAACACGCAACAATATGCAACCATGCAGAAGCTCAGAACCTTCGCAAGCCGCAAGCAGAGCCAGCTGTGCCCTGTCCGACTTTCCCTTCAGCCCAGGCTGCGGACCATGACCTCTGCTTGCTCGTTGCTAGCTAAGAATGTGCCTCATTTGAGATTTTGGCTAGGGAATCATATGTGTCGGGACAGCCTCCGAAACAGTGGCAAGCCAGTTCAGATGTACGGAGGCCTTTGCGAAACGGCTGGCGTGCGTTTTGGTCTTCACCGGCATTGGCTCTGCCGGCTACGGGGTGGTGCTTCCTCCGCCCCTCAGACGGATCTTCCAGCAAGTGTGTAGTCACCAAAGCAGAAGCCGGGCCTGAGGTTAGTCGCTAGTCAATGGGTGGTTTGAGAGAGGTGGCCGGCCAGATGCGGTGGTTGGGCGCGCTCGTTTCCATGAACGCTAGCTTTCACGCATGCATGAACAGTTGTCAAGATGGTCGCACTGCCGATGCGCCAAGAGTTGCGAGGTTCATGATGGGCTACCTGGGCTACACTCGCAAAGACAAGTTGGTACTTATGTGCATTGCGGCGGCTTCTGCCCTTGCAACTCGGACATCGTGAGGTCTTTGACCAGTGGGAGCTGTGAAGTTTCTACCGATTTCTCTGAGGTGGCATTCGCCTGCCTGATGGGGCCGCTGGTGAGAGCTTTCGGGCAAGTACGTACCCTTCAGTTCTGCCTGATAGCCTCCGCCGGACATCTGCAATAGTCCATCCTCTTTTCATGCCAAGATCTAATCACAGGATGACCTGGGGGGTATCGCATAAACGTGAGTGGGAACGAAGCATAAATCCAGCCAGTGCACCCTTCTACTCCCAGGCTTGCGTGCCGCTACTGACAGCTGCCTGCCAGGATGGGATCGACTTCCGGTTCTGGGTGGTAGGTGAAAGGGCTGACAGGTGTTGATGAAGGAAAGCATGGGAGGGGTCCTGTTCTTCCGTGCGGCCTGCACCCTTTGAAGGTCTGGTTGCGGCGCAAGCATGCATGATCGGGCATGGAATATGGAACTGTGCGAAAGTAAGTTTTCCAGTTCTGTCAAGCAATGAGCACGTGCCAAGAAACATCAAGCTTTTCGTGTCGACTTCTGTTGGCATGATGCGGAATACCTTGCGTCGAGTGCGAACTGAATTTCAGCAAGCCGCCGTGTCAGGATCAGTTGCAGCTCGATGTTCTCACTCCGTTGCTGGTGAGCCCAACAGTCTTGGCAATACCTTTATTTTCAGCATTGCCACTTGGTGTGGAGCATGGAAAAAAGGGCCACCATGTTAGCTGAAGCCACAGGTTCAGCCATTAGGGGGAGCCATGAGAGAGCCGTGGACGTGCGCTTGACTTAGACCCGCGTTCCCAGGAAGAGCGCCGTGGTCTCATCGCAGGAGCAAGGGCTCATCCAGGGAGCAGTGGCTTCGATGAGTAAGGCGGGAGGGGTTGTGAACAAAGCACAGTACGTGCCTTCGGCTGAGGAGTTTGGTTGGCTTTAGGGTTCGGCTCCTGTGATGCAGTTCGGCAGGTGGGTATGCTGATGTGGCTGAGGAATGTCCTCGGAATGTCTAGTGACTAGTGGCGCGGCAAAGAAGAGGATGTTCGTGCATGTCCGGCTTGTGGCCTGGGCATCTGGTGTGGGCCGGGCGATGACGGCGATAAGGAGGTGAGAATGAAGGAGGTGAGAACCAGTGAACGGCCTCGGGGGGAGCTCGAAACTCGAGAAGCTGAACGAACCCGCATGTGCCGCAACGCCATGGATACAGTACAATATAGAATACAATATAGAACGTTATCAAGGTCTGAAGCTCAGGACCATTGGATTTGGTGCAGCTAGTGCAGCCGGTCGAGCACATGGTAGACGGCTGATGCAGTTCATGAACATGTTCAAAAAAAAGCATTCGGGTCGTGGGTTGGTCATGCTCAAGCTCGTGCTGGGCATGGTAGCTGGTTTTTTCTGACGCTTGGCAGTTCTTCTGCAGGCGGCGGCAACTGCTGGTTCTCTCGCTTTCGGGGTGGTGTTTGCCTCCACGACGCATGGCGGGGAGGTGCCTGCGGGCTTGGCAGTATGCCACATGCATTGCGCCTCATGGTGGGTTTCTGTACTTTGGAGTGAGCAGGTGAACTCTCCTGACGCAGTCTTCCCGTGCTTTGCGCTTATTGCTGCGTGGCAGATGATGAGCAGTGTTCTTCTTGTTCTTCAGCAGTAATGGCACAGTTTCAGGCGTCGTTTAGCCTGTTGCTGTTTGCATGCTGCACCTCACGCCTTCCATGACCCCTTCCTGCACACAGCGGGTGTCAGGCTTGCATCAGTGCCTGCGCTGCTGGCCTGGCTGTGAGCTTACTTGTAGCTCGGAAGATGTGCACGAATGCCACGAAGCCACCCTTCACGCAAGGCCTACACCCTCCCCCTTGTGCCTCCGGCTGCCACCAGCAGTGCCGACGGTGCAGAGGTGGAACTGACAGGCGGGGTCCTCCAAATTGCAGAAGGACATCGGCTTGTCTGTTCAGCTTATCTCGAAGGTTACAGGTTCTGAGCTCTGATATTCCATCTCTGTGGGAACCTGGTGGGACTGCGGCATGCGTGAACGTTGCCATGCCTGCCATTACGAAGGAGAACTGTAGACTGGAGAAGCCTTTTCTTCAGTCGTATCGGGCGATCTTATCTTGCTGGGGCACGTAGGCCTAGGGTATGGAGAGCACAGAAACCTTTGGTGGTAGCTGAAAGTGCCACTCGCTTTGCAAGGCGTCAGAGTGTCATCTCCAGCTTTGGCAGCTTCCGCGGTCTTTGAGTGACAGCACCATGGCAGGGATGGGAGGCCGATGTTCGAAACAGTCGGCCTCAAAGCATGGCCTCTACGCAGCTGTGCCTAGGTTTTCCTCCTCGCCCTAAAACGGGCGGGCCTGGGCATCAGCCGGCTCGACTCTGAAAGAGTTGTACACAGAGTTTTGTAACGCAAAGTTGTAATAAGCAAATTGTAAGTTGTCACAAGTTGTGACAGGACAGGTCCGGTGCTGCCGCAATTCCAGGGAATCAGGCGGCTTCATCCACGGATCCGACTTCTGCCTCGACTGTTGCAAGCTTTGCGGCAAGGCGCAGGCACAAAATTATAGCACACCCTACACCCTACACCCTAAACCCTAAACCCTAAACCCTAAACCCTAAACCCTAAACCCTAAACCCTAAACCCTACACCCTGAAACGGCATATGACTCTTATGGCAACATCAGCTGATGGCCTTGGTGCCCTTATTGTAGTGGAAGGCGGTGCTTGACCTTCAATCATCCGCGCCACGTCTCAATGGATGTCAATGGCCCACAGAACGCTTTCAGGGTACAGCTTTGCCCTTTAGAGGGTTTGTATAAGGTTCGCCTCCACGTCGCTTGCAGCCAGAGATTGAAATGAAGATTGGGACGTGGGCAGACACTATCTCTGCCGTGTTGACGTTTGGCTCAGGAAGTTTGAGGGGCGTGTTTGTTTCAACATGTTCGCAAAGGCCCCTTGCCAAGATGGACGCCAGGCTTCTGGCCAAGCTTGCGGCGTTTGCTGGCTTCGTCCCTTTCATATGGCTGTCCGTGGGAACCGGCCTTTGGGCATCAGACCTTGCAGCAAACAGCAGCTTATGCCTGGTGACGAAGGCGGGCCGTTCTTGAGTCCTGGAATCTCAGCCATGTGTAGCTAAGCCAGGGAACATGCAAGGCGCAGGCACCTGGGGTTGACTCAGTATGTCGACGGGTGGACGATGACGGAACGATGAAGCAAGTGAGCAAGAGTCTCGTTTTCCTAGTTAATGCTTGAAGTCTGTGGCTGCAGCTCAGCCCTGCACAGAATTTGCAGCTTCCCAGCACCGGAAGGCCGACCTGGCAGAAGAGACCTGCTGTGAGTACCAGATAAATCCAAATTGCGTGGAGGTCCCATGCCCGTTGCTTGGCCGCACTGGTCAAGGCTCACTGCTCGTGCACATCTCGCCTCGTTGTTTGTCCAGATGCAACCTTTTAGCGGGCCTTTTCCCATTTCGAGACACATCCCGCCTCGAAAACGCGGATCCCACGCCCCATTTCACCGAGCCACTTGTTCGTCTCGACGTTGGAGGGGTTTGGGGGTTCAGGGCTCCTGGCTCCCGCAGTCCAGATGCAAAAAAAGGGCTCCGTCACAGAGGATAAAGAGGCCTGGATCCAGCAAAGGGTCAGGGCTTAGGCTTTTTTCTCTCAGCTGTGGGTCTACAGCAATCGCCCCGCCCTCCTACGCATGGCAACCCCTGCATTGCCATTTTTCGCGTAGAGAAGGTTTCACGCAAAGCGTCATCCTCGTTAGATTTTGGGGAATTGTTCCCCCCCCCCCCCACACACACACAACACGGTGTGCCTGCAAGAGTCGTGTGACAGGTAAGGCCCGGATCCCGTAAACCCTCAGAGCTAAAAGCGAATCCCCGATCCTAAGTTCTCCTTCTGCCCAGTTCATGAGTGACACGAATCATACTCTGGACGAATTGATTTGACCAGCAGCCACATGCTGTCTTTTTGTGGTGCCAAAGCCTCCAAACACGGCGTCTTGAAGACGGCGGGTGGCAAACAAGCTTCTGAGTCAGGTGTAGATAAGCCCTGTGGATGAACTTGCTGGTTCAAGGAACAACGAGCGACACCAGCATGTTTCGCACAAAGCAGTTTGGGCGAATTGGAGCTGCGGGCCGAAGACACCTAGAGTTTGTTCACAGCTTGCCTGCTTTGTAGTACCTGCAGCAAAGTTTCGTTGCGTGCGCATCATTGCCCCAGGCACACGCAGGACTACCCTACGTCCACCACCCCCTGCACCCAAGGCGACCCCAAGATGCACCCCCTTACCCCCGAAGCCCACAACAGCGCAGCGTGCACGAACGCGTCACTTGTGAGAAGCATTCTGCTCACACAGGGTCCCAGATGTCAACAGGCTGCAGCCTATCCACGTGACTTCTTGAAGGTTTTGATTGCATGCGGTCACATGCAATGCTAAAGCTGCTACTGTAAAGCCCGATGCTGAACGGTGCCATGCTTAAAGACTCAACCTGAGCCCCGCGCGTCGAGGCATACCTTGTGCAACGAGCGATTGAGGAAAGGAACTGAGGGCGAATGCAGCTGTTCCGACCGCGGCCTGCCACCAGATGGGATCCCTTGTTGCATGGAGACTGATATGACGTGGGTAGGTTTTTGGATTCATTTGTATTGATTGGTCTCGGGTGAGCAACTGCAGCGTCACATGCTGGAAGGAACTGCCAGAGTGCAGATGCAAACTTGGAGAGCTAAATTTGCTGTGGTTTGAAGCAAGTTTGTACAGATCAAACTGAGGAGAAGCTGCTTTACTTGCGAGGTGACTGCAGACCTCGATTCTGCTGCAACCATTGGTAGCCGAACTTTCTCATCTGGAAGGATTGTTGCCCCTTGCCCGAGCTTTTTGTGAAGTGCACACTCAGGCTTTATGTTGAGTAGCATGCTCTAATATGCTCCATGAGTCCATGCCTGTGCAGCGTCTGGGCAATGGACATTAGCCTGGCATTAGTCTTTGAGTTATTGCACCTTTGCTGCTGAATAAGGAAGTTGCGAAGAACAGGGCCACTGCGGCTGATATCTGCGAGAACCAAGGCAAAGCGGCCGGCGAGCGTGTAACGTGCTCCTTCACTTAGCTCTATGAAAGTTCCGTCGCTCTTCCTACAGTCCTACAGCTCTTCACGAGACCCTTAGCCCCAACTCAATCTGCTTTAAAGCTTTGAGGCTATTATACCGGCGCTACCGAAGGGGAGTGGCTGAAGATTCGATTCGATGGGCTGAGTGCCACTGGCTTTGCTGGCATGGGGCTTTGCATCGCCGGCTTTGTCATGGCCTTGGTACACACTATAATAAGAAAAGCAATGCTGATAGCAATAATTCGCAACAAGAAGAAATAATTGTGATGGTCATAGTCTGTTCGACGTGCTTTTTGTGAAATACTGTAGGATGTTGGGGCAGTGTCGGCCAAGGTTTGCACGCCCGCTTGCTGCCTACCATTTTGGTGCTCTTATTGCTCCAGCCGGCGAAGGGTGGTTGGCAGCCAATGAGCCAGGCATCACCGTATATCTCTGTATCTATCGGCTTACTGACTTTTTGAAGACAAGACAGGTTGCTTTTGAAGCCAAACTCGTTTCAATCCTTCATGTTTCAGCTTTCAATAGTTGTCATGCGAATCCTGTAGATGCCTTGAGTCGAGACAAGTGCGAGCGCTTGATGCGCTCAGCAAGCCTTTGTGTGGGCACTGTGCGTTTCAGCAAAATGTCTTTGATTTTTTGACTGCACATGTGTGGCCAGTGAGAATCGTGCAATGCTGCATTATATATTCACGCTGAAAGGGGTCACAGTGCAAGGGCATATGAAATGCGCTCCTACAACCCCTATCCAACCCGTCGTATTTCTTTTGCAAGAGCCGTCTCCGTGGAGCCTCTACGCCCAGAAGATACAAGGTATTGCCCATAATGACAGGAGTGAACGCAGAAACTGGTACTTCTTTTTACGTGAATAGTACAACCTCGTCCCAATACTCTTCCCCCAAACAATGCCGTTTGGGGCCTCCTCAGAAACAAACCGCTCTGGCCGGATGGGGTGCCGCCTTGGCTCCCTTCCTGGCACCCGGCGGCGCAGGATCCTGCCTCCCATGTGGCTCCCTTCATGACTCTCTCTTTATGGGTGTTCTTGTGGCGCGGGATTACTGGCTCCCACTTGCCTCCCTTCATGACGCCCTCCCCCCCGGGCCGACGGCAAAGAGGTGTGTAGGCAGAAGCACTCGGCGATCCAGCACGCCAAGGCCATTGACTCTTGGCCGTGCATTTCTCTTCCCACACACTCGTGCCTTCGGGCCAACTTGCTTCCGGTTTCCGGTGCTCCTGCCCCATATTTTGTCGAACTCCACACATTTGGGCAGCTGCTCCGGATCTGCTCTATCAGCGACTGGGGTCTGCATTCCGCAATATCTTCCTCTGACTCTGATTTGCTTCCGAGGCAGCTCAAGGCTCCTCCATGTTTGCTCCCTGGGCCGGCACGCTTCGAGGTATGCTTTCTTGGTCTCTGCCGCCTCTGCTCCTCTGGACTGATTCGGGTCGCTGTTGCTGCTCCACTGTGTTGCTCGTGTTCCAGGGCGCGCGGCCCGCGTCCTGTCGTACCCCAAAGTGTCCGTGCAGTCTTCAGAACCTGGACGAGTCGCTCCCAACTTCGGAGGGATCTTGCTCTATGTGTTTCCTTGATGGTGTCTGGCTACGCTCAGCATGGTACATGAAGTTGCAGACTTGCCCTAGCCCTAGGCCCTAAATCCTAAACCTTAGCCCGAAACGCGAAGCCCGCACTACCCCCACCTGTGCGAGTGAAGCGTCCCCTTCAAAGCCTGGATCCCCGAGCCCTTAGGGTTCAGGGGTTTCGGGGCTGAAGGCCCGAGTTCTTATTCTGCTAAGGTTTCTCACTCTTGAAGAGTAGTCCCCCAAGACCCAACCCTAAACCCCCATGCAGCAAGCAGGCCAAGTTTGATATGACCTTGCACCCTTAAAGCCTGAACTCCAAACTAGAAAACTGAGCACGAGAGGTAAGCGCGAGGATTTTCGTCGTAGCGATTGTGAAATCAGGTGCTGTGCCTTCCGCCGGGGCATTGCATCAGTTGAATATATGCTCAAACGTCGAGATGGCTCCAACCGAAGCTCCCAATTTTGGGCCCAGAACGCAGGTGCGCTGGCGCGCGGCGTTTTCGGTGCACTTCGCCGGCCATGGTGAAGAAAGCAAGCCTCAACCCGACGCAGTTCCTTCCGCACGCGTTCTCTAAGCTGGCTCCAGCTATGCGACTTGACACCATGGAGCAAAGTGAGCCGGATGATGCTGACTGTGAGGTTCTCAAAGACCAGCAGATGGTGAGGTTGGCTGATGGCGGCTATGTGGATGACACGGCCGTTGCATTCATCATCAAGCACCTGCAGGACAATGGTCTAGGTGAGGACTTCCGAATCGTCCTGTTCATGAACACTACAAGCGAGGGTGTGCAGATGGGCAGCCACACCATACCTCAGGCCATTGCACGGCTTTTTGGAGAATCCAAAAGGGGCTCCGACCTTGACAACTTCCCCGTGGTAGGCTCGGTCAGCTTTGAAACGGTGTCTGCACATGTCTTCCAGAAGGCGGCTTGGGACAACGTCCAAGAGAAGTGGGCAATCCCTGAAGATTCGAAGCTCCGTTTACGGCACTTTGTACTGCAGGTGGAAACGGTTAAAAACCTAGCCTTCGGCATCAAGGCAGGGGACCGGGGAGAACTCTTTATCTTCATATCTGAACACTCCGGAGCCAGCATCGTCCCTGTCACAGATGACGACTTCCAGAAATATAAGGAGATCTACACCAAGACTCGTAGCATGATGAAAGAGCGTCACGAGCGCGTCGATTCCGTCCTCAAAGCTCTGGGAACCACAGCAGCAGCTGGCAGTGTGAAGGTCAAAGTTGCCTTTTCAGGTGGGGGCTGGCACAGTCATACCTGCCATTCAGCTTGGTTTGCAGCCATGCTTGATGCGCCTTGGGCGCCCAAGCTCAAGGAAATCCTGTGGAATGTCGATGTGATGGCTTCCAACTCCGGGGGCAGCTGGTTCTTGTCGATGCTGGCCTTCTCCAAGGCCTTCTGCGACGCTTTGGAAGTCAAGACAAGCCGAGACCAGTGGGCCATCTTAAGTCCGGACGCTGATGCCACTGATGCCAATGGCTTCCTGGAGCAAACACGGAGGGCATTTGGTGGCACCCTCTTCGAGGGCAACTTTTGGGGCTTGGCTCGGCTCTTTCGCTTGGCCATGAGCTATCGCTTCGACTGGCCTGCTGCGGTCAAAGGCTTGGTTTACGCGCCCTATGACATGAAGACCGAGTTGGAGAACGCGAGTCTCTCTGGGGCGTGCGTGGATTGGGTGGAGGCTCCGGACAGCAAAACCCTCCTGTTTGCGACTTCGCTCATGACTGAAGATGTGGTACTTTGTCAGAACGGCCTGCTGAAGGACGAGCAGATGTATGATGCGAAAGTTGAAGGGCAGAAGATGTTCACGCCGGTGTTTTTTGCCCGCACTCCTTTGAAGCGAAGCCGTCCGCACTTCTTCTCCGTTGGAAAGGAGGTGGCGCTTGCCTACAAAAGCAACACTACTGTCACATCTCATCCGCGGGGCGAAATTGCTGTGAATCAGGAGGACAGGAGAGATGGCCTTCGAGACAGCGCAGCCGGAGTCAAGGTCATGGATGCAGCCACGGCTTCATCTGCAGCAGCGGCGCTGGTGGCGAGCACGAAGATCTTTGACATTCTTATGCAGGCAAGCTTTCGGGGAGAGGAAGAGGCAACAGCCCTCCTTGCTGCAGCAGGATGTGCAGGATGTGAAAGCCCTGACGCAAAGCGGCAGAGGATTCTTTAGTTGTCTCATGTGGTGCGGATTGCAGAAGGCAAGTTGTACGCAGCACATGCAAGGTATCGTAAAGTCAGGCGCTTGCACGCAAGGTCCGCCCTGAACGCCATGGGTACCACATCTGACATCACATACTCAAGCCAATGAACCTCGCATGATTGTGCGCTTCTGATAAAGGAGACCCGGCCGGATCACGTCGGATCTTGTTGTGACATGGACTGCTGGCTCAGATGAGCGTGGCTTCTGCATCCATCGGAACAATGAACTACTTCATCGAAACGACAAACTTCTCTGGCTCACTCAGGCTGATGCTGACGATGAGATGGTTCACTCGTATGAATATCATAGGCCACTAAATTCGTTTGCACGAACATATTTCATGTATAGTGGATGTGGGCCGATATCGTCGCGAGGGCGATCACGAATTCCACATGTATTCTAATCATTTCATTCCGAATGTCGATTTCTAGCTGCGTTTCATGGTTTTATAGATTTAGTTGATGTAATGAAGAGTTCTTTCCTTTTATTAAGATAATTCTGGGTTTCGCATTTCATATATTTCAAATTTGCGATTGTCATTTGAAAGATCTGAATATGGAAAAATATTCGCATAGTTCCGAAAGATAAATCAAATCAGTTGCTTTCTCCAATAGATCTTCTAGTGAGATGCTTTTGAATTACCATTCTTTCTTAACTTCAAAATCCACATGACGAATGGTCAGAATTACACGATTCTCCTTGTCATCAAGAGTGAGACATTCCGCACGATTCTACGCTTGCAATTCGGCGCAGTTTTGCCATTGAGTCATCATCTTAGGGGGCGACGTGAAATGGCAGCAATATTTTCGTAGTAAGATGTTTCTTGAATTTTTTTTATGCACGGACCCAACAGAAACGATACAAGCGAGACCACTCAAAATAAACCTGCAGCAACATCAAGCACATGGCTATTTGCCTCCGCAATGGCTCAGAGTCACTCTCCCTCATTCGCCCGATGCTCGTTTGATGAGGCCATCGGTTCCTCGATATTCATCGTCTTCATCTCGGTGTGTGTCTGTGTGTGTGTGTGTGCGCTAGTACTGTTACTTTGCACGGCACAATACTGAATCTTTCGGGGAAAGATGTCAAAGCCAGCATGTGATGGAAGGCTTATAGGGTTTGAGGGTCTGGAATGTCCCAGTGAGTGTAGGGCCGCCGTCTAGGGACTGGGGCCCAGCAAAGAATGATCGGATTGTAGAGAGGGCTAGCTCCAAGGTATTCTTCGCAAAGCTGCTCTGGCTCAGCGAAGATGATGGCCATGGAAACCAGCCAGGGCGAAAGCTTGAACGAATCACTGACTCAAACTTTCGAAGAAGCCGCCCCACCTCGGCGCCGATGGCACCAGTGTGGAGTATGGCCGGTGCTGCTTTTCAGCTTCCTATTGGCTGGCGTTTGGGTTGGGCTGATTGTAAGAATCTTTAGCCCAGCAGATGCACCCCAACATCCTTCTGGAGAGGATGGAGATGCTGCTCCCCAGGCACTGGCTGGTGTCGCAGAGGCTCCAGAGACTCGGGAAAGTCAGCAGCTTGATAGTCCAGGCATGGAAGCCCTCAGAGTGTCTTGTGGAGGCGATGGCTCTGCCACAGGTGAGCCCCCCAAAATTCTTGGGCAGTGGACGACGTGGACCCAGACCAAGAGTGAGATTGTGCGCGTGAAGCTATGGGGCGCTGGAGGCATGGGTGGGGCACCGGTTTCTTGGAATGACAAGCTTGACACCACTGATTTGATGAGGTGCGGCACATCCTCTTTCTAGAATTGAAATCCGTCCCAGCTTAGGCTCGTCTGGTCCCACAGGGAGGCTGTCAAGGGCGACGCTTGCCTGGGCATCGCGGTGGATACAAAGGGCTTGGCACCCGAGCAGATCTGAACAATCATGCCAACCAGATGAATCCCAACAACTGGCGCTACTGGTCCAGCCGTGGCTTGGAACCGCCCTGGCGCAGTAGTGCAGTGACCAGCTATAACTCTCCTGATTATGATGATGCCCCTACACCAACACGTGACTGGGAGCCTTACCGGCCAATGGTGGCACCAGGCCAGCCCCAGCAAGCCACTCAGCAGCCAACGCAGGCATCTCCGGAACGCATCAAAAACGCCAGGAAAGTGCGGTTTGCAAAGGGGGGGAGGGGGGGGGGGGGGGGGGGGGGGTGGCCATTTTGAAATATATAAATAGAAATAAATAAATGAAAATATACATGCATATACATAAACAAACATAAATATAAATATACGTATAAAATGCAAATATCAAAATAAATATAAAAATATGAATATGCTATGCATATATAGATATGAATATAAATATAGATATAGATATACATATAAGATAAATATAACTGTAAATACAAATATACATATAAATATACATACAAATATGAATGCAAATACATATAACTACAAATAAATATACTGTGTGAATATGTCAGCGTGATCATCCTGAATGTCCCTACAAAACCCTGATGATTGCAGCACCAGGAGAGGCTTGCCTGTGGCGGTGGCCCGGCGCTTCGCCAGGATAGCGCGGGCTGCTGCCAGGAAGTGGTTGCCCAGGGAGAAGCGCTGGAAGGCCAGGTTTGGAATGCGTGTGTAGGTTGAGGAAGAAAGTTTCGGGCTCTGAAGTGTGCAGATCCTAAACCCTAATGCCTAAACTAGCTCGGAGGGAGCCCCAGTGTGCAGGAGACTTGCACTTTGCTTTTCCCTTGTAGTCATGCAGATCCAGGCATCTGTCTTAGACGGACAGGTTTGTAATCGGTAGTGAAGTAGTTATGTCTGGCATGCAATGGGCTTGTGAAGGGAACAGCTCAGCGGTGGTCGAAGGGAACCAAGACGAAGCAGGCCGAAAGTCCTGAACCTGACACCCTGAGCCCATGACCCGCCCGTCAGCCACCCCCCAAAACAAGCAGTGCAAGCCTCAGCCCATGAAGGTCTTTACCTCCCCCCCAAAAAAACTAAATAAACCCAAGAATGCGGAGTCGAAGGTTTAGGATTGAGAGTTAGGGTTTGGGAGGAAGGCCCCCCGTAGGAGTAGGAGTAGGAGTAGGAGTAGGAGCAGGAGTAGTCGTAGGAGGAGGGGGAGGGGAGTGGGAATGGGAGTGGGCGTGGGAGTGAGAGTGGTAGTGGTAGCAGTAGCAGTAGCAGTAGCAGTAGCAGTAGCAGTAGCAGTAGCAGTAGCAGTAGCAGTAGCAGTAGCAGAAGTAGTAGCCGTGGTAGTGATAAGCGTAGGAAAGCATAAGTAAGTGCTTGTTGTGTGCTATCGTTCTTGCTCTGATCCAAAGCTTTTGTCTCTTCAGGTAACAGACGAGGATCCAGATGCAGTCGGTCCCTGCGGAGAACTTTGGCTTTGCGGTGGCGGCGGGGGCGGAGGTGCTTTCACGGACGAGTTGGTGAACCTCACGGCCGGGAAGCAGTACGGCGTGGAGGCACTTTGTTGCAGATTTGGGGCCGATGTGTAGTTTTGACTCAAGATTGCCGGTTCCTCAAGCAGACGTACAACGCGCTTTCCATACATGGCATTCACGTGCTTAGCAAAAATGTTAGTTTTTGTGCTTCATATGCCCGTGAGGATTTTGTGCCGCGAGTACTTCATCTTTGGGGCATGATGTTTCTTCAGCTTTGAGCGCTTGAGGCTTTGAGGTTTCAAGCAATGGATCTGCGACATGCAGCTTTTGATAGAACCGTCTCAGATTTTTGTGTGTGGGTTTAGATGGATATGTGCGGGATGTAGCGAATGATTGCAATCGGGGTTATATGTTGTATGAACTTGACATGACGCGCTAGATATAGGTAAACACGAGTGAAGGCAACGTAGTACCATGTCGTACTATCGTCACGGTATTCGTAAGAGGGGGGTGGCGCAGGAGATAGGCGAGTCATGGCCCTGCGCTACGCAGTCTGCTCCTGTGCCCCGAACCATCATGTACATATCAATCCTTTGTGCAACGGAGGATGCAGGAACAGTAAATCGGAGTTGAGGGGGTTTCTGGGGCTCGTCGTCGTAAAACAGGGACGTATTGATATGAGATTGCTCGGAGATCGGAGGGGGCTGATTCATAGCGAGATGGTGTTGCTGATGCCGCGAATGCGGAGTTCTCAGAAAGGTAGCAGAGTACGAAGAAAACGAACCTGTTTCACGACCGTCTAAACCCAGCTCACGTTCCCTATCGAAAGATCAATCGAAATGAATGCTTTGCTGCTGCAAGCCAGTTATCCCTGTGGCAACTTTTCTGCCACCCCCTAGCTGAGTATTTCTCAGACCTAAAGAATCGATTGGCCATGTTTTCACAGTTTGTATTCGTACTGAAAATCAAAATCAAGCAAGCTCTTCCCCTTTTGGTCACATAAGATCTCTGTTCTAATTGAGCTGAATTACCTTAGGACCCCTGCGTTATCATTTAACAGAGTTGCCGCCCCAGCCAAACTCCTCAGCTGCCAAAAGAGAGAATGTTCAATCAACAACTCACATGATGCAAGTTTCAGTCACACGGAAGTGTGCTGAGAGATTGCGCAAGAGCAGTATCATGCCACAAGTATAATGTGTAGAATTTTGTAGAGTGCGAAGTGCGGTTATGGCCACAACGTTGCCGGCCACTTCATCATCTCTCCCACTCCACGGCATCTAAGACGGCCTGACTACCTGTACCTTCTCGAGAGCTTTGGGTGCTTGTGTTGGAGAGCCGGAGACAACCCGGGGCCAGATTTGTGCGGACTGGAACAGGGTCTCGGATTCGGGGTGGCCTTAATTGAAAACGCCCGAAAGACCTCGGCCTGGCGGACTGAGAGGCGTCCCGCTCATGCCTTGACCTGCGCCGTGGAGTGTAAGGTCTAGGGTCCTTCACTGCTGGGCTGGGCTTTCGCATGTGATTTGTGTTTATATTGCCTTCGAAGTGAGCGTGCCCGAAAACTGAAGTTCAGAAGTCTTACGGCCTTTCCTCCAAGGGCTATACAGCTTGGAATAAGCCCATAGCAATATTCTTGCAATAAGAAGTATTTTATGTTTGTAACACCCTTAACAGGGAAAGTCTCCGCGGGGCATTCGAGTCATCATAGATGACAGTAGACAGCCGCGCAGGTGGGCGTAGGCGGTTTTCCCTGGCTCTCCCAGAGGGACAGCCACTCGCCTGTGGGAGATCACAGGTGCAACTCGGCATTTTGGAGTTTTGGATGGTTTGAACCCGCACCCTAAACCCGGCCTGTGCGAGTGTGATGGTCGCAACCCTGGGGTGTCTCCCTCTGTTTTTGGGAAACTTCAAAGTAATCTGACAGTTCCCCGCAAGTTCCTCAAAGAAAGACTCCCCGAAATTTGAGACTCTGTTAGCCTCTACCAAGGCGGGACACGTGCTGCTGCTCGAGGCTTTGGGTGGCTTTGCTGGCGGAGCCGTCGACGAGAATCGCCTGGTGCGTGCGGGGGTATTGTTAACCAGGGACCGCCGGCCCAGGTTCTTTTTGTTTAGGAGGTGTGGCTCGAGCTTCTTTTCTTTAAAAAGTATGGCTCGGGTTTCCTGGTCCCGTGGTCCCGTGGTCCCGCGGTCCCGCGGTCCCGCGGTCCCGCGGTCCCTCGGTCCTCCGGCCCTGGTCTTTTCCGGTCCATTTTTCTTAAGCCGCGCAAAGCTTCCCAACCCCGCCCCGCGGTTTTACGCTGTGCAAGCTTCAAACACCATCGTGCGAGCGTTTCGTTTGCAACTGGTCGTGACTCCCCCAAGCCCCCCAGGGTTGTTTAGCCGTGCGCACCACTAGAATCCTTTCCAAACCCATCGTGCGAGCATTGTGTTTGCAAATGGTCAACCCTGCTTTTTTAGGCCGTGCAAGCTTGCGTAAAGCATATGATTCCCTTCCAATCGGGCGAGCGTTGCGTTGCGACCCCCCAACCCCCCCCCACGCCATCTTTAGCCGTGCAAGCCTGCCTCAAACACCTGCAAATGGTTGCGGCTCCCCCAGTCAGCCGTGCACCATTCTAATCTTTTCCAAACCCACGTTCGAGCATTGTGTTTGCCGCCCCAACCACCCCCCTTTTTTTCGTCCGTGAACGCTTGCGTAGTAACCCTTTCAACCCTGCACCCTGCCCATGAGGTGTCCCTGGGCGGTGTCGGAGCTCCGGGAGCCGTTCCTGGCACGGACGGTGAGGCGTCTCGCACGGACTTCCGTGATCTCCGGCATCTTGCTCTGAGAACTGTCATCACATGGCCAGACAGGGGAGGACTCATGATCCCCTGCCATTGCCCTCTGAGGTACGAGCGTCAGGTCTTGGCTGGAGCCGACCTTGCCGCAGCAAACAAGTTGGAGCTCGGGGCCAAATAGCACATGAAATTGGTTTAGGGGTAGAGGCTTTAGCATAGGGTTTGAGTCTTTGAGGGCTTGGTTTACGGTTTAGGGTTCTCAGATGAAGGTTTGCTAGATTCCTTCATATAAAGGACCTCGTAGCCCCCAGGATCCTTGTGTTTATGCAGCTTTGTGGACCCTAGGACAGTCAGAGCTTTGACGTGTCCCTGGCTGCGGTCCGCATTCCTTGCTCGGGGGCCCTCCGCACAGGATCCCCTGAAATGGAAGCTGGGATGCTTGACAGGGTTGAGACGCCCGTCAGCAGGATGTACGTTTTCTGTTTGATGTCAAGCGCCTCACCTGTGCCAGTCGGCTCGGGGTACCCGAAGCAAGGCCTTCTATACAGTGCGTTGTGTTTATGTTTTTTGTCTTGGTCGGTGTTTGTTTGTTGTCCCAGCCTTTGAACCCTGATCCCTTTATGTCATGCATCATGAAGAGCCAGGCGTTTGGCACGAGCACAGAGAGCACAGAGCGGACATAGTCCGAAATCTCGTGCCTGACCTTCATATGGGTTATGCCCATTGACGTTCTCTAGTCTCTCGCTTTTTATCGATCATAGGTCCTCTTGTCGAAGCCTTCCAGTTGTTTTGAACATCTTCGTCCTTTTCCTTGTTCTTTAAGAACAGATTCTCCGAGCTCTTGAGCCATGGATACCGCAGCAAAGTCCGAGCCCGACGCGTTGAACGACACAGAACCCACGCCTACGCCGAGCCTTCCGGCTCTGAGTTCAGAAGACCTTGAACAGTTTCGTCAATGGCAAGCCCAACAGTCGGCAGCCAAGAAGGCGCCCGAACTCTCGCCTCAGAAGAAGGCGCGATTACAGGAAGATGAGGAAATACGCACTTTCATCGACAAGCTTACTGATTTAGATATCAACTTCGCCGACCTCGACCCCACTCTACAAGACAAGTTGAAGTCAAGCGCCACAGCGCGCGCGGATTTTCTTGCCATCCACAACGCCACAGAGAAGTACGACCCGACCACTGGAGATTTCAAGCAGGCTGCTACGAAGAAGAGAATATTCAGCCCGGGCAATGAGCAGGACGTTCCCCTCCCTGAAGTCACTGACAATACCTCCTTGCAGCAGGCAATGATGAAGTACCACAAGCAGTCAATGCTGCCGAACATGGACAAGCTTTATCAATGCTGTGATCTCTTTTACAACCAGGTCCAAGCCGAGTTTTCCATGCAGCAGATTACCACTGAAAGACACTCAGCCCAACTGCAAGTACTGGAACGTGCCCGAGCCAACAAGACAGTTCTCCTCCTGGACCTCCCGGCCCTTTTTAACAAGAAAACGTTGGACAGCAACTTGTACCACTATGTCAACGGAGCTGGTCTACAATGGACAGACATCGCGGCCCTCCACAACCATATGGTTACTTCGCACTCCTCGGTGGCCCGAGTAGAGTTTGTCACAGAGATGCAGGCTCAGCAGTTTCGAGACTACATGCGGCAAACACGCAGATATTGGAAGTCGCCAGACATCCCAGACTGCAAAATCAGAATCGAGCAGGACTTGCCCACCGACGACAGACTGGCCATGCAGCCGTTTTACGCCTTAATCGACCTCCTCGCTGAGTGCACAGACACCCCGGACCTGCAGACCTGGAGGCAGACCCTCCAGATTTGGACTCCAAGAGACGAAGAGCCCAAGCAGCTTCTGGCCCAGGTCGCCTACGTGTTGGATCCCCGTTACCCTCGCCGTTATACGTGTCTTTTGCTGGTTCACGAGAAGTACTATGACGAGTTTCTGGTCAAGTGGCATTCCAAATTCACAAAGCGACTCCACGACACGGTACAGCTGATACAGGCCCTCCGCAGGGCCACCATTGACCGCACCACCACGCAGCGCGCTTCCTTTGACAAGGCCTTCGACCTCACAACCCTCGCTAGCCTCCAGGCTTTCACGTACCCCGTCATGCCAGTCCGAATTTCCTCTGAGCTTGCGAGCCTCTTAGAGTCTCACCCCATGTTGCCGTTTCAGGGAGCAGGTGGCCTTACGGCCCTCACAGCCCAAGCTTTCCAGGACCATGGTGTGGCAGAGGATTTCACAAAGGGTTCCCCTAAGTCCCGACCCTCCGGTAAGGGCAAGCAGATCCAAACCGCGTGGGGCCGTTTCACCCAGAACTATTCC